CTGGAATTCTCTCCAGAAAGTGTTTTCTTACCAAAATTTTTTCTTTCAGCAGGAGACAGAAGAGATTGTGGAAACTGCAGGGAGATTTTGTATCTGCCTTGCCAGTAGAAAGGCTTTTCCATTAATAGTTACAGCATGGAGGTTATTAAAGCTGTGTTGCCAAAAGCAAATGGTTTGAATTTTAATGTGTGGCTTTGAGTTCAACATTTTCCCCTTTCTCTGTTCATTAATTTCCTCTTACATTCCTAAGGATCTACCATGTATTACAGTACTTTTCACAGGAATTCATGTAATCCAATGTTAAGCTTTACGTGGATTCTTTTTCTGGTCAATTCGTTAATACTTAAAAGTTTATGCGGTTTGAAATACAGGAGCAAGAAAGTCCTTAATCAGGCTGACTAAACCTAGTGATACATGGCTCAAATTTAACAAACCTGGCAAGAATGACTTGATCTTTCTTGGTCCACCCTTGATTAGAATCATCCTATTCTGATTTTTCTGCAAGTGCTTTCTACCACAGTGGTCTAACTGTGAAGTTTGCACAAACTTCATCTTAGGTTTCCGTGGTTGTGATGACCCCCAAGGTATTAGAAAGTCTCTTTTTTTCCCAGCCCCATGACCAAAGAAGTTGAGATTCGTCAGTTCTGCTTTTCAAGGTTGTTTCTTTTTTCTTACCTATTACATTCTTTCTCTGACCTGCTGAGATCTGTCCTGCAGGTCTGGTTGTGGCACACACTGCCTGCCTTTCAGGTGGTGTTAACTTTTTATACTAAGAACTACATGTACTTTATTTACAATAATTTTCCAATACCTATCACCTATGTTAGACAGTCTGTCTCTACTCTAAACCAATCAAGAAGTGTCACCATCACAGCAGAAGAGGGCAAGAAGGAGAAGAAGGATAGGACATGCCCAGATTCCTCCATCTTGCCTCTTGAACCCCCATTCTAAAACCCCAAATTTCTACTTTTTCACCCTGTGACAAATTAACTATCATTCTACTCAAACTCTTGTGGCTTGTAAATCTTCACACAAAGTTGGTAATTTTTTCCATGGACTAAAATCAAAGGCACAGGTGTTTTTGACTCCATGCCAAGGTCTCTGAGCCCCTTGCCAGGGTCTCAAATCACACAGGGCAGCCAGAGGAATGTCCTGGGTCCCGACAACTTCATACCATACCTAACATACCACACACTGATTGCTGTCTACCTGTGTGAAAACCATGGTTTTCTGCTGTTTTTATCCAAAAAGGCTGCATCTGGGCATGCAAAAGCTCCTTTGTGGGTACAGAAAAATGTAACCTTTGGAAAAAGCTGATGGGCTGATACTATGCAATGTAGTCTGAGTTGTATTGATAGAGTTTGTATCATTTGAACAAAAGAAAATAGCTAATTTTACAAATCATCAGGGGTTTTAAATCCTGGTGATAATCCCTTTAGACACCACCAGTAAGTATTAAAAGAAGGAGAAAAAATGGCAATATGCCAGCTTTGTTGCTTGAGTAGTGATTGCATTCCAGTTAATCAATCCTTAAAGTAAATTAATCAATCATATTAGATTTTTTTAAAAAAGGAAAGAAAAAACTTTAACTTCCTAAGGAATTAAGTGGTTGCAATTCAGACTGTCCCAAACCAGAGATACAGACTCCAACTGTGAACTATGAAAACAAGAAAGCTTTAATTTTGAGCATAAAAACAAGTTAATCTGTGAACACAGTTCTGTACCATTCAGCTTGCAATATATGATCTACCACCTTGCAAAGAAAACCTGTAGCCTCTTTTAATTGATTAATTTATCTCCTCAGACTGGCCCAATTCAGCTAATATATTATTCACTTTAAATAATCCTAGCATGGGTGGCAGGTTTTGATAGACTAGTTAGTGTATGCAACAGCTATACACTGAGTTTGGTAAGAACCAAGTCTTGGAGATACATCACCTGTATCCTGTTTGCCAGTTTATCAAACCAAACGACAAAAATGGCAAAGTTCCATGTTTTATTCTACAGATTCACAACTTCGTGACTGAGCTCTCCAGATGAAAGGTTCACATCAACCTCATCTGTGTCATTAAATGTGGCTATGGGAAGACTCACTTGGTGGTCTTTGTGAGTATCACAATTCCTGTATTTGTGACTGTCTCCATTTTTAATACTGATGTTTTCCTGTGTGGAGATTTCTTGTCATACTCGTGATTTTTCTAGACATCCACAGCTAAAGCTCCTGTTTCCTGCTGCAGTCCTGATCTGCAGATGCTGCTTGTGTCCCATCATTCAGATGTTGTTTGCACAGGGCACTGCTGTTATGGTTTTACAGTGGACTGTCATGATTTATCCCTGCTTGGCAGCTGAGCACCACACAGCCACTCACTCATTTCCTAGCCCTGGGGGAGAGAATCAGAAAGGTAAAAACACTGGTGGGTTGAGATAAAAACAGTTTAACTAAATTAAACCAAACCAAACAAAAACCAAACCAACCAAACAAAAAAACAACCACAAAGAAGAGGGAGAAAAAAACCTTGAAACCCAAGAAAAACAACAGACTGATGCCCAGCCAGTTTCTGAGCCAAGGGAGCCCCTGCCAACCTCCATCCCCATGGTTTGACTCCTGAGCATGGCATCATATGCTGTGGGAAATCCCTCTGGTCACTGGGGGTCAGTTGCCCCACTGTGTCCCCCAACAGCCTCCTGTGCACCCCCAGCCCACTGGAGCATGCTGGCAGGGCAGTGTGCAGAGGAGAGAAGCCCTTGGTTCACATTTCCAGCTGCCTAAGGCCTCCCTGTCTACCTCATGGCCCCTTCCCCACAGCCATGAGCAGGCAACTGATGGACACAGCTTTGGCCAGCAGTGTCTCCATCTTGGGGCTGGCTGGAATGGGCTCTGGCCAACATGAAGGCAGCTGCTGCTCACAGAAGCTGCACCTGCAACCTTCCCACTTCAAATCCTTGCCACGGAAACCCAGCCCAGGACCCTGGAGAAACCCCACAGATGTTGAGAGTTTTTTGCAGGACAATGGACATGTACAACATATGCACAATCCACCCTTCATAGAAACTGAGTAAGGCCACTGTGCCCTTGAAGGACACAAAAGAAGAACACACTCAGAAGCAGACATTTCAGGATGCAAAGGCAGACAAGAAAACTGCAGCAAGACACTTGAAGAAAGACTACGTAAAATTAACTGAAATATTAAAATGCATACGTAAAAGGATTTAACCAATCATGTAAGCTTGAGGCGTGAACAATAGAAAACAGTATAAATATAGCTTGCTTTTTGTAATAAATTGGCTTCACTTGATCATATTGATCATGGCGTGATGTCCTGTTACTGATCCTCCACACACAGAGATGTACACAGCATCTTCTTCCCAAAGGGCAGATGCCCTAGAGAGGCTACCAGGCCCTGGGACAGAGCAGCTGCTGGGACACAGGGCAAGAGATCATCTGTGTTTGTCAGTGCTCCTGCTCCATGGCCTTGGCAATGTCCTCAATGAAGGGGTAGCTGCTCTCCTGGTCACAGAGCATGCATGGGCTCCTGAATGCCCCCCTGTCAGTAATTACAGAGATGTTCCACATGAAATGATGTAGAAGGTGTAACTTGTGACACCTCTTTCCATTTTAAAGCTGCAGTGCTGTTCCTGGGTGCACACTGTGCTGGGCAGCTGTGTGGGAAAACAGCATGAAAACACAAGCTCTGCTGCCCCTTGGTGGCCATCACTCCAGCAGGGTCTTGTGGGAATTGTCGATCCATTCCAGAAGGCTCTGTTGGTGCTGTTACGCATGTTTTGACAATGTTTGGGGAGAAGGTATTGACTAAGCAGTGCTGGCAGAAACTGGGGAAGCATGGCAAGCAGATGAGAGGGTCCAGGTGTTACAGAGGACAAGGTTCCTGAGCTTGAGATTTGAGAGCAACTCAACAAAGCAAGGGCAGCCTTACATTCCAGGGGCCATCAACACGGACATTGCAAACGAGTCTGTCTTTGGGAAAGCCAGACAGGAAGATTGGAAGCATGAAACAAAATTATTAAAGACCACCATGGCTCTGAGAGACAGATGGGACTCCTGGAGACAGCAGCAGATGCATGTCTGGTTCAGACAGGGAAGACTGAGCCTGCTGTGCTAGTGAGGCTTCATCCAGAATATCAGAGAAGTTACCCCCAAAGAACCCCCTTGACATAGTATAACAGAAAATCCCACAATGTCACAGACCTTGGCAAGTACTGGGATTTTGCACAGCCATAAGACATTCTGCCTAATTACTTTATTTTTTTCTCAACCAGAATTTGGAATGCCCATCTCTTCTCTTCCTGCCTCGGGACTTAACATGCTTCATTGTAGCAACTACTTCCATAGGCACCCAATTCATGGATCTTCCTTATTTAAGTCTTTCTTTAAGCAAGGATTAAGTATTCTCTATTGCCGCTTCTCTTCCCTGGCTAGCTGATGTTGAGAGTGAGGGGCGGCAGTTTTCCCCCTGGAGCTCCTTGAATCCCAGTTGTCAGTTGTTTTGGCACAGAATAAAACACAGGCAGCGCACATGCGTCCCAGGGAAACTTTATTTGATGGTGTTTCTTCCCCTCTTTCTTCCTGGGCCCCAGCTAGGGGGCCAACAAAGACTTATATCTCAGGGGAAAGGCAGGGGCAGACCCAACTTCCAACAAATCAGGAGAGTTGGGAGTAAAAACCCAGGCGGGAATAATGGTAACGAACCAATAAACTTCCAAGGAAGAAAAACAGTTTTAGGAAATGGGTAAAATTTGGAGAAATAGAAACTAGGAACTAGCTGACGACATTTCTGGGAAAAGGGTGGAGACAAAAGAGAGACCAGCACCAAGGAAAACTACTAAATCACAAATCAAACCATAGACCCACTGATAAAACAAAAAGCACGATACAACACTCTATAATAACAAAGTTGCATTAAATTGCAAAAAGTAGCAATCAAGACAGAGCCTCTTTCTTGCTACTGTATGTAAAATTTTAAATAATGAAACAAAACATGGTATTTGAAGATGGTTTATTTTAAATGGTATTCTGAAATTCGTGGCTATATACAAATTTTACAACTATGAAGGTTAAGATTGCATGGTGACTGTCTTCACAAAGTAAGGCTGCTCGGTCAGTGATCTGAGAGCTGATTCCATTGAAGTGGGATTACTCAGAGTACAGGATGGCTTCTGGACGCTTGTAAGCCATGAAGGCACCAACACCAAAGGAGGGAGGCCTTCCTACATAAAAAGCTAATCAAGTGTACCCTGGGTTGCCATGGGACCTTTGCTGAATTTGAGAGCATCACCAGCAGGGAAAGGTCTGAGACAAGCCAAGGGTCACTGTGGAAAGGCCTTTACACTGCACTCACAACTTCGAGATAGGTACACACTGCAGGAGCTTTTCCATGTCAGTCTTACTCACTGTGCTTTATTCCTCCCTCAGCTGGGCCAGTGACAGGGAAAAAACAGAAAAAGGAAAAAAAAAAAGCAACTTATGCTACTATGGTAATTTAAGAGTGATCTTTAGAGACAGAATCTTTTTAGAGATAATTCATAGGCATGAATAGGATTTATGTTAATGCTGAAACTTCAGTTTAGATACCAGACACAGGGGTGGGATGAAATGTTTCACCCTGCAGCCAACAGACAGAAAGTCTTCACCTTTTGGAATTCCCATGGAAGACAGATGAGCTAGTGCCTCCTCTCATGTTCCCCAATACTAAAGGCAGAGATAGGAGTTTGTTTTACACACAGACAATTAAAAATACATTTTAGTAATGTTTCCCATTAAAACCTTACCCATAGCACAGTACTGAAATCAGTGCAACAAAATGACAGGAAGGAGTATTTACAAGCATATTGTACTGTACTAAATTTGCAAGACAAGAAAATTCTGAAGTGCAAAGTTGTCTCTATTCTACACAGACACAGGGATCCATTTTCCTGCTTGCTGTACAAATGACTATCATTGTTACAGACACACCACGGCTCCATGCTGAACATCCAAGTGACCAAACACCATCCCTAGGCTGACAGGCAAAACTCCTCTACCAAATCCAGAGAGAGGCAGACATTAGCATCCAAGGGCCAGGTTTAGTCCCTCAGCTGTACATGTGTCATATGCTGGATAGAGAGTAACTACTGAAAACTCAGGAACATGAAACATGAAGGAAGTGTATTTAAATACATGGAGGAAGGTATTTAAATAGAAATCCTACAAAGAGCTTAATGGTTTGGTTTTACAGTAGATTAAAGACAAGCACTGCTTTTCTTAAAACACAAAACAGAGGGCCCAGCACTCCATATTTTATTCAGCTGCAGTTCTGTCCTGCTTCAGATGGGGCACAACTTTTTAAAGATTATTTACACCAACAAGATTTGCAGGCTTAGCCATGAGAGCCTCTAAAACCAGAGAGAGGCCACAAAACCAGGCTCTTGCAGCATTAGAATATTAAAAAGTCACGACTCAAAAAACCTCACTCTTAAATATTACTACAGGGAGCTATAAGAGAAGGAACATGGCTGCTGGGTTTCCAGATTCACTGAAACTCTCAGTTCATTCACTCATATTCTTAAGCATATTGGACAGTTAATCTATATCCTATTTATAGTAATTCCTGCTACTACCCAAGAAAACCAGAAGAGAAAGCTGCTCATTGCCTCACAACTCTCTCTCCTTTGCAAACTTAACAGTTTCCAGCTTATTTTTTGGCAAAACCATCCAATGTTTGCCACAGGATTTCAGCTACAAGTAAATAAAGTTTGTCTTGAAAAGCAACACATGTTAATTAATTTGTTCCACTATTCTATTGTTAAACTACTACATCATATTTACTGAAACAGCTATGGCACAAGAAGTTATACAGCTAGGTTTAAGTAATGTCATCATCTGACACAATTCACTTGGTTATGCCCCAAACTATTTACAGTGAATTTGATTCAGACAAACAGCTCAGTTTGAGAAAGTGTCCAAAGAATTCCAAGTCCATAAAATAATCTTTCCTTCCAAGATGTTTGAATGATTTAGTCATGATTTGTTAATTTGATTTTAAGATATTACTCTACAGGAACCCACCCATGGGTAAAAACTGCATTGGAAATGAGTCCCAGGACCTACAAGTACATTAGCAAACGAGGGTGAGTCTGTGCCACAGTTTGTAGCAGATAGAAGGGAAAATGAGGGGAGGAGAGAAAATGGGATCTAGTCTGCACAGAAAGAAAACTAATTCAGTTGAGATGTGTATATATTGACACAGAATTCCGAAAAACAATGAGTAGCTAAAAAAATTGTGATTGTATCTTGATCCTTAAAGGGGGCAGGCTGAGCAAATGTTGATGACTACAGCTGGAATACATTTGTAGAATTAAAATCTATGTAAGAAAACTAACTCCACACTCTACTCTGGCAAAACCTAAGCTGGTATTTTAACAATGCAATGAATCAGCTGATCAAGTTAGGAATAGATTTGAGTAACTCTTCATTAAACATACACCAAGTCCCTGTGCAGCACCAGAAGAAATGGAGCCATTTCAGGTATGTATTCTTCTTGATACTCATTATCCTCTAGGCCCCTGCAGAACAGAAACTTCTTCCAAAGAAATTCAGCTCACTTTACACTTAGTTTTATGTGCAGAACTGACAGAAAGAAAAATCCATCATGGGAAGCAAGGAGGTCTGCATTTGATCAACCCATAATATCCAGCATTAAAAGTCTCTTTTCCTTTTGCATCAACATATTTTGTAATTTGGGCCAGTATCTTAGGAAGAGTCTTGAGTTCCCTATTAACCTCCTTGGCAGCTTTTGTTTCACAAGCCTTCAAGGAGTTACACACGTACTCTCTGAGCTGTGTCTCCAAGCCTCGTTAAAGATTTTAGAAGCACTGAATCACAGCACAGTGTAAGGTGAACAAAGAGTACCAAATGAGGAATGTGTTTACAGTTTACATCACGGTAAGTGCATCTGCCATCATGTTTGCTGGAAGAGTGAACATTGTCAGGCTACTCAGTTTCTTTCTCAGGCCAAGAGAAGTGCAGCAACTGGTACCCAGGGATTGCAAGGCTCTCACTTCAACGCATGCATTTGCAACAAATCAGAAAGATGTTCTTTGTTGTCAAGGGCGTTTTGCAGTGCTCAGCACTAAAGAATGCTGTCACGTTTTCCACAGCAGGCAGAAATGGAAGCAGCAAGTTCTACAAAATCCACTCTTTCTTAGCCTTGACAGGGCTTGGTTTCTCACAAGTTTTCTTCAGAAAGAGCTGATTTTAGAGCAATACTGTAAAACCTGAGAAGCAGCACTGTTTACACACAGGGCATAAAGAAAATCTAGAGCTTGGCTTCCCAGCTGTGCTATCAGCTCTTCAGCTTGTCTTTCCTTCCTGTTTTCCTGACAGCTTATTATAGACACCACCCATCTGGAAATACAGCAACTTACTTCCAAATCCATTACCTTAGCATGACAGCTTCAGGAATTCCAGTGTAGGGGGTTAGAACTGTTTGCAGCCTTCAAACTTAACAAAGCTTTGAAGATTCAAAAACTCTGAACAAACGACACAGGGATGCTTTCCTTTAAAGCACTTCCATATTGCTTGCTGCATCACTTTCAGATACACTTTGATACTAAGGGATTTGGATTAAAGGACAGACAAAGCTAAGGTACCTTATTACAAATTCTGATATAAAAACCCTAATCTATAGAGGAAAGAACAGAGACTAATAGTTTCAGAACATAAATTGTACTCCTGTTATGCAGAATTTGAGGTTTCCCAAGTTCTGTGCAAGTCCTGCGAAATATCATAGGACTGTTATAAACCAAACCCAGATTTTCTTCCCTCACTACAATTAGGTGAATTCGAACACAATAGGGTCCTAAGCCTGAATGACAAAACTTGAATAGATATAACTGTTCATGCAAACTTCTGTTTGCAGAATTGGACATGATACAGCATACAAGGTAATGGAAAAACCCTCAAGCATTACAATCATACTTCCTTCGCTATTTGTGGGTAAAACTAAACCCACAAAAAGCAACTCCCTAGAGGCACAATAGGAACATTTAAGCCCACTCATTCTATGATATCCCATTGAAACCAAAAGCAAGTCAGATATAAATAACCTCCTAGAAATCCACCACAATCTAAAGCAAGATAGACACATATTAACAAAGATAAACTAAATTAGCCTTGTAAATGAAAAGAGGAGAATCAAAAAAAGGAGATCAGAATGAAAGCCCCAGAGTCCTATGAATAGAGTTTCAAAGCAAATTCAAAGCACTTATGGCATTTAAGAAATCTGGCATCCACTGTCTTTTTGAGGCTTTATATTTGGTTCCTTCAGAGGTTTTACTTCTTCATCTGGTTTTGGTTTAGCCTGCAAACAAGAAGAAAAAAAAAAACCCAACTAAATACCACAAGTACAAACCACTGTGTCTGCACAGTATTTATCCACAGCTAACTTTACATGTTATGATCTAAGAGTCCCCCCTCTTTTTCAAGGCTTTTGAGTAAGCCCCAAGCAAGAGGGAAAAGACAACTTTTCTCTGTTTCAGCATCTTTAAATGAATCCTTTTCTAAAAAATAATCTTTCTCTAGCACGCTGTAACGTTACAGGACTTGGTAAAAAATGAGCTGATGTTCCAGATGCTGGCAGTGTGGCAGAGGTTAACTGACTTGCCCTTGGCACAACAGAAGGATGAGTTTAGGTGGTAGCCTTGTGTCTGCTTCCTACACTGAGCTGGGGATTGTTATGCAAGTCAAGCTAACTCTGTATGATAAACAGAATAAAGACAGAGGGAAAGAATAGCACATGGGATTATCTTACAGCATCCTCCTTTGGCCTCTTTGTGAGATCAAATGCTGCAACTGCTTCAGGAGTCCAGTGTGCATTCAAAGCAGGAAACTCAAAAGGAACAGGCTCTACTAAGCCATAGTTTGCTTTCAATTCCAGCTGGGGAGCCTCTGCTGGCACCTTCTGGAAATAGCTGGAACAGAATACAGAAATGTATTTAAAATACAGTGCACCATCTCTGCAAGTCTTGTTTGCAGTTCTAAACAAAACAATCTGGGTTTTCACAGTGGCAAGCACTGCTGCTCTCTTCCATTTCATTAAGACACTGCCTAACATGCATTCTGCCAGCAAGGCTCACAAGAACAAAAGCAACTCCTTCCTAGTATTGTTGTTTGTTCCCTAATTATGTGGCAGGCTTTCTCCTACTTAATAACCATTATTCCCAGTGCTTCAATGAGAAGAGCATCTTTTGTCCAAAAAAACCTTTCAAAATACAAATGAGGATTTAAAGTACTTTCCAAAGATGAAGAGGACAGTTCTTTTCCTAAACAGTCCTAATGTGCCATAGTGGATGATGGTAACACAGCAGCCCGCCAAAGACTGGCTACAGGGCAAAGCCTGACTCAGGTGTCCCTCCGCCCTTGGCAGGGCAGCAGGAGCTTACACACTGACACACTCTGCGACACTTCCTGTGCTGCACAGAGCTCTCCCAAAACAGTCCCTGCTTTCTCTTTCCAAGTTTTGTTCTAGAGGGACAGGGATGTGCTGAAATCTCCCTTTTTGGAAGGACATTAATGAACAGAAAGCCCTATTCACAATATTAACTATACTTGGACTGGTAAAGCTCCTAGCACCCTAAGCATGATCTTCACTGAAAGCAGCACCGTGTTTTGACTTCCCTACTTGCAAAGCAGAATCACCTATTGGTCTTCTCCACTTCCCCCTCTGTCCTCTTTTGCCTACTAGATCCAAGGAGACAGGAAGAGAGCATTAGAGCAACATGGCAACTTCTGCAGATTTTGTCCTGTGCAGTTCCTGACCAGGTGGCTGAGGAATGAAGGAAGAAAACTGCTCAGCCTCTCCAGATGTCAGTCCAGCCCCCCCTGCTGAACTGGCACAGGATACAGAGTGGGACAGCACTGACCCACTGCAAATCTTCCCAGAGAAAATTATACAATTGCAAATTTATCTGTAACTTACATGCCATGCCCTAAAGTAATATAACAACTGGAGAGTAAAATTTACCATCCCATCCTGAAATAAAAGCAAATGACATAGCACTTCATGCAGAGTGCTGTACCAACCATGAATTACTTACATAAATCCATTCTCTCTCTGGCATTTTTCTAATGTGTTCTTAATCAAACTTCCTAATTTCCTAAAGAAAAGATGTCCAGAAGGTTTGGCAGTAGTCCCAGGCCCTTTGGTTTCTCCATATTCTTTGCACAATGCTTCAGCCCTGGCAAAAACTTTGCAAGAAAGAAAAGGAAATAAAAATTATTTATGTGACCTTCTTAAATCATGGTTCTGCTCTACAGTGCTTCAGTCTTAGAAGACACCAGAATCCAGTCAGGCCTCTTTCTTCTTGGAAACAAAACCAAACCAGTTCAAAAACAGCCAAGATTTACTGCATTCAACAAGTGACTAGGAACAGGAAAAGAAGAAGATAGCTTTTTGGGTGGGAAGATACAGAAAAGCATTCTTATATGTGGGGCAAAATGCAACAATAAACCCAAGAACTGTGCCACATGGCAGGGAAAAACAGAGGGTATGAAGGCATCCACACACAGCTGATGCCCCAAACCAAACAACAATAACTGATATGGAGTGGGAGAAGAAGCACTCTTCTCTGAACAGCCGAACAATATTTGTTTTACTCCCAGAAATCCAACTTAGTTTGTTCTTAATAAATTTCTGATTTATTTTAAAAACTAATATTAAAGTTTCCACTTGGAAGATTTGAGCATTTTTATACATTGCAGTAAAGTTATGCAATGCAGGCCAGTGGGGTACAAATAGCTTTGAAGAGAGAAGACTGGGAAGAAGCCCTTGAACTACTGCCTGAATATACCTTTCAAATGAATAGAAAATCTGTTTAAAAATAAACATGCAAGATCTAGATTTACTATTTAACCTCCAAAGCAGAAATGGCTGTACTACTCTAACATACAGACCAGAAAACAGGATGACCATTGGTTTTTATACTGTATATTGCAGGCAGCTCAAAGCCAGTCTTTAAGCCAGGCCAAGAAGTGAAGATGAAAATTTTCTGCAGAAATGTTATGAAAGACAGTATTTGGTAAGATAAAAAAAAATATACACTGTCTCTCTTCAAAGGTGTGCTGAATTTCCAACAGGTGACTGATAAAATCTTTACGGGAGAGCAAATTAACACAATACAGCAAACAGAACAGGCATGGCATCATCAGACTCAGTACTCCAGTCTCAACCACACTTACATTTTTCTGATTCCTGCAGAGATCTTATTGCTTCCCCACATTTATCACTTGCCAGCAAAGTCTGGCCATGGTAACAGTATGCCTGATGGAAGAGGACAAAATCATTACCAACATCCCTAGGCACTTCCTGCACCAATCCCCTCCTCCTGCTCCCTACAGCAGCTGCAGCTCTTTAAAGCTGTCATTCCCTGCAGGTAGTTGACAGCTGGGGATTCCAAGTCAAAGCAGCATTCACTGAGCTATTAATGCAGTTCAACATGAACACTGTGAACCAGAACCATGAACACTTGGTATGAACCGAGCTGTCTCAGCTCTAGCCAAGAGTAACTGAGCTGCACAAAGCTGTTTGACCTGAGGCACTGGCACACAGGCCAGTCGAAGCTCCCACTGTAGCAGTGTGCAGCATCAAGCCCCAGCACAGAAAGAGAATGAACCCCAGGCAAGTTTACAAAGCTAAGACTTAAAACTAAAACTACCTGAACACTCAAAAAATTCATCTGTGACAAACATCACTGAATCTAGAAGAGATGAGATGTTCTAAGATATTTTGTCATAGTCCAAATAACTTTTCCACCCCCAAAAAGTCCCATTCCTTCATACCTGTGCTTGAAGGTGGTATTCTGTTCCAGTGAGAACTGAATTGCCTATTATCTATTATCAGGAGCTGAGTTTAACTAGTAAACATAACAGGTGAAGGAACAACCCCATCAACTCATCAACTAATGCCCAACTTGCCCCCCTTCCTTTAGTGTCTGTTCTCACAGTACAAATCTTTCTAAATCTACTACTGCCCAGTAGTAGAAATCACTCAAATTTAAAAAACGGAGAAGTACCACAACTCTGACCCTCCCTCACCTCTCAAACCTGCTAAGGCAAGCAGATTTTAGCTACAGATTCAGCCTACGAGAAAGATAATTATGTCTAAGACTGCTTAGCTTGGGCCTTTTGTACAGTATAAAAAAGACAGATTACAGGCTGTGGCAGGCTACAAGACACAGCAAATTGAGCAGCTGAGGATCTCAAGGGCACTGCAGTACTTGCTAGGAGATCCATCAGGCAAATAGGGACAGCTCTTGGAATGGTACCTTTTGGTACTTGATGCCGTTTCATTCAGGGCCTTCATAAAGATGCTCAACTCTGAACTGTGCCTAGGATCAGACTGTAATGTAGATAACAGAGAGCACCATTATGCTCAACCTGAATGGTTTCAATTAGAGATCTGTGATAACAACAAATCCACACTGCTGCAATTTCATTTGGCTCCACAAAAACAGTTCAAATGTCACTGACACTGCACAATTCCTCTTCACAGTATGCAAAGAAAGCCAAGGCAATACTTAGCCCCCATTCCCTATGCAGCCCTTGGCAGACAGACAACAAGCTGTCACTGCTGCCACCCAAAGTACTTACGTAGGCCATATAGAAACAGCTCTTCAAGTTTAAGTACTTCCTCCATTTACCTGCATAGGCTGGATCCAAACTGGATAATGTTTGATCTGTGAACACATATGTAAAGTTATTCTTAAGACAATTCCAAAAAGAAAAACCCCAAACACATTAAAAGACCAGAATTCTTAAACTTAGCACTAGACCCTAACTCTAAAGTATCCAGAAACAAGGGACAAAAATTCCTCCAGCAAAAGCACAGAAAAACCATGAGAAAAACACCAAAGACATGCAGCTGTCATGCAGTTGTCCCTAGAATCCCTGAAACTGCTGTCCACTAAGTCTGGATGGCTAAGTTTAGGCAGCATTTCAAAGCTTGTTCCTAGTTTTAAGTTCCAGTAGTGACTCCCATATTTCTGCACTCCTCCCACTTGCCTCAGTAAGCCCAGAGATCATCTTACTCATCTGGAAGGTGGTACATAATGAACCCACTCCACTCTTCATGCTCTGCATCATGATCTGCTTCCCAAAGGCAGCTGGAACACACTCCACTGACATCAGGCCATTTGTCTGCTGCTAGTCTGTTTTCCTTCACTAATGTTTCCTACCATCAGCGACAAAACAAGATTCCCATAAAACCAAAAAGCCTTGTCATAATACATGCTGATAACTGAAGTCTAAAATGTGCTAAATAGAAGCTAAATACACACTCCATATCCACCGAGAACAGCATTAATATTGCAATTTATGGGTAGGTGAAATATATCTGCTGGCAAGAGAGCATAAATCAAGGATATAAATCACTAAGGATACAAAACAAGACACTCACCAGCTTTTTGGTAGAAGTTGGCTGTTTCATAAGCAAGAGCAGCTATTAGGCCTGGATTGTGTTTCAGCTCAATAGCCCGAGCAATTGTGACTGAAAAATAGTTCACCATGGTTTAAGTTTAATTGAAATGTCCCATCACATCAAATCAGCAGAGGCATTTAGGGTTTTAAAACCCCTGCATGAACAGAAAATAGATGTTGTGCAGTCAAGCAAACAGCAGAATAAAGATAGATTGTTTCTTGGATAGAATGATTCCAATTTAATAGAAAAACTGAAGGAATATTAGCCTTAAGATTAGCTAATAAACAGAAGCTGCACATATTTTAAAGTAAAGGAACTGGGAATGTCTATTAGGCAAGCATGGCGGTGAAAGGGTTGCATGAAAGGAAGAAACCGGAAAAAGGAGTAATGCCACACTCAAGTTCTTCCAAAGTAAGATATTCTATATTACAATTTTAATATCAGACTGATTTTTGGCATTTTCCTTTTATAATTGTAACATAATTTTCTTTAAAAGCAACCTGCCCCACTATGCCACAGTACTTCAGGAGAATAAAAAACCCATGGTCTTGCTGCCAAGCAGAATTCATGAGACAGCAGTGACGCACAAAGAGTCATTTCCCACACCCAACCAATGTATATTTGAAGATACCTTCTTGAGCTTCAGCTTGACACTGTATGATGTAGGAGTCTATAAGTCGAGCTTCTAAATCTCTTCCCTTTTCCACAGGTGTAATCAATTTTGGAATGTGGCTTTCCTAAATACGCAAGTCTCAGAATTAGTTTAGGCCCAATAACAGTGCAAAACAAGTGCCTCATTCCTAAATGGATGGGACACACTGAGTGAAGGTCCCAAGACAGCACATGACAGCACATGTAGCACATGATATGGGCAGACAAACCACTCTTCCAGTGCCACTGGGAATGAGTTGCAGGGATTGAGTGATACCACAACATATTAATACCTTTCTGTTTCCTGCATCATTCAGGTGCTCTCAGGTATGTGTGTATAGTAAAGGCCTCTCTAAGACAAAAAGTCAAGTATTTGGAGACACCTCGAAGAACAGACAGCAAAGAAAGTCCTTCTACCTTCAGGTGTTTAAAAATCCCAGCTGCTATCTTCAGGCTGCGGTGAACATCTTTTGCTTCATCTTCTGTTATACTGAGAAAATAGAACGAATTGGTAAAATTATAGTTAGAAAGGGACTCTAAGTGTCGTTTAGTGCCACCTCCTGCTTTGGGCACCACATTTGGCAACAACAGATCAGGTCAGTTATGGCTTTATCTAGATGAATCTTAAATCCTTCAAGAATCAAGAGTCCACTAATTTCCTAAGTGACCTGTCCCATGGCTGTGCTACCCTCAGAGTAAAGGAGTTTCTTATAGTGTCCAATCATGAAATAATCATATAGAACTTGCTTGAAAGAAAAGAAATGTAAGATCCTGTGATGACTCTCAAGTAAAAGGCAACCTCAATGTTAGAAGCCAAGGATTTAGAGGTCTGTAGGGTTAAACTTCAGCAGAGCTCTGATGTTAAGAATCTCACTTTTCTACCTGGACATTTAGAGGGGGACTGATGAAGGGTTTATTGACAACTGACACTTTCTCTGTATCACAGTCATGTAGTACTACTGCACTGGGTTTACAGAGGCAAGAACGGATTGAAGTGCTTTTGTGTAAAGATCAACTGCCTCCTGGAACTCCTCTGCCTGAGCTGGACATTTCCTATAGCAGGCAACCCCCAGAGCCTGCTAAATCTTTGGTGAAGTATTGCTGCAGCAGAATTCTTAAGAAAAGAAAACCACTTACTCTTCTTTTCCAGCAAGTCTTGATGCATATTTTGTGTACCATAGAGCTACATTGAATCCCATGGAAATCAGTTCAAACACTGCATCCTGCTGGGCACTAAAGAAAGACAAAAACCCCCAAAAAACTTAATGCGTTCAGTTTTCTTCTCACATCTCTCTCTGACAGTTCATGTAGCAAAAGTCAACACTTCTCTCCATAAAACATTTTTCATTTAAGATGTCAACAATTTCCAATTCCGAACCTCCTTCTTCGCTGAACTGCCTAAGAGAGATGGCAATTTTTTTACTTATTCCCTTTAAGAACACATAATTAGAATCTAGCACATTCAGATGCCCACCCTTCCCTTTTGGGAACTTTTATTTTAAAACTGTAACTTGAGATTTGTTTAGCTTTGAGTGTGGCTAACATTTTTCCATCTCTTTTGTTTGTTTGTTTTCAATTGCACATTTTGTGGAAAGCCTTGCCCTGGAATGTCCACTTTAAAGTTGTACTGCTAAGTCAATAAGTCAGAATCTGTTACAACTCTCTCAAATTAATGTTATTGTAATTATTTATGTAACTGCAGACAAACAGCATGTGCAAATAGCAGGAAATTTCAAAAGCTAAAAACAGTCTTTCAAAAGACTGAACTTGCAATCACAAGCTCAGTTTAGCTTAGGAACTAGCAAACCTTTTAAAAAGAAAGATGTGGGAGTGGGAAGAGTAATGTTGGCACAAGAAAAAGTGTGCATGACCGTGAGAAAATTCAAATAAAGTCCTAAACAACAGATTTTCTTCCATGGGGAATTAAAGCTTTGAGGAGGTCAAGCACTTCTAGCTAAAGCTTGACAAATTTGTAGACATGATTATACAACACAATTACCTCCAATAGCAAAAGACAAGTGAATAATTCAGAAGGTTACAGATCTGTATTCCTCCTGGAAACAGAAGATTTATTTGTTTGAACCAAGAGGACATGTACATGGAGCTTCAGAGGAGAAGAACAAAGTCAGATCTTTAGCAACACTGGAATCTCCAAACACACAGAAGTTCCTGGTCAGGCAATAGTGCCAAATTAAGTTTTAAACTGCAGTGACCTTTGTTACCATGCTCAGTTCACTAATACCCTCAAGGCTCTTCTTCGTACTTCTCTAGCTAACTGCAGGTTCAGTTTGTAAATCAACTGAGACCCAACGGATCCTTCTATCATTATTGTGCATTCTCGCAGTTTAACATAAAGGCCACTGGGCACACTTCAGAACACATAACACAGTACAGCAGTTACCAAAAACACAGCAACACCTTATTAGAAACTACTTTGTGTTCAAGACTTTGCTGCATTTCTGTTTCCCTTCAGGCCTGTGCATGTGTGTAACAGAGCAGCAGAGAGCAGCTGCATACCCCACACCCAGAAAAGCACACGCACCTCGGGACTTGTCCTTGTAATGTGTCTGTCCACTTGAAATTCTGAATATATCTCAATTTACATTCTTGGGAAGAGTCATCCAGTGAAAGGATAAAACCTATGGAATAATGAAACAGGCAATCTCAAAGTAGGAAACAGAAATGAGTAATGAAGGAGATTGATCAATATGAATATAGATATATATATAGATAAAGGAATGTTTCTCGCTGAACCCCTCAAAACCCCATGTCACTTTCTGGGGTTTTTATTCCTCAGAATCTTGAGAACAAAATGTGGAAAAAACTAACTGGCTACTCCAGGAAACCGCTTGCCCAGCATGTTACCAACTCAATTTTGAGAATCTTGACTGCTCAAGGAAAAGCTGGCAGATATCTGCACGTCCCATACAGTGACAAGTTGGGAGTGGGACTGGCCCAGGTACAGGATGGCTGAGGTTGTTCAAGGTGAGCAAATGGCTGTCTCTGCGGCAACCAGAAAACTCCAGGAAAAGCTGCCTGGTCAACAGGGAGAGGGAAAAGGGCTTCTAAGTATGGGCTCACTTAGTCATCACCTATCTCCAGGGCTACAGGAGATTGGTTCTTTAAGTCCTGTAGCCCAGAAAACAGCAGTTAGTGGGATGAAGCTCACGCTATGGGATGGTCAAATCCTAGCATAAGCAGGCCCAGGAATTTTTTAGTGAGGCTGAGGAGGAGCCTTGGTCTGATCAGGTCTTACAGACGTTAAGAGGTCAAGAGCTTGCCATAGCAGCTACTGGAGCTATACCTGTCAGTGTGTCACATGTTTATAAAATCAGAAAATACTTATTCCTTTCACATGCAGAAGATTTTAGCGGCCAAGCATGATATTTTCCTGAAGAAAGTATCCAGATCTTGGCTGTTGGATGTGACATTAGCCTACATCCTCCCAGGAGCTCATTAAACCAATGTTTACTTCCCACAGACTGAAAGATCCCACTTTCCATGAATCAGCTGATTCCTGACAACTCAGTCCTAAGAAATCTGGCCGTGCACCTGACTGCCAAGAAAGAACTACCCAAATATTGGCAGAAGGAAGGTTTCAAAGGAATGTGTCAGCACAGCTGAGCCATCTACTGAAAATGCAGATACCATGCTAATGAGCACCTACATATATACACACACCTAAGATAAGCAGCAGTAGAAGGTAAACTTGCAACAAGTCTATGGTCTAGTATTAGACAAACCAGCAGTTTACACTGAATACTAAATGAAATAAACTAATTAATAGACTCAATTTATACTTAGGGAGCAACTCACCACTACCTAAAAGACAAATACACGTTTTCTCCTCCAACAGGAAGCAGAATGAGGTTAAAGGCAAGAGGGCAAGGCTGCCAGCATGCAGGTCACAAAGGACACTGAAACTTGGAGAAAAGGCCTGCTGAGCAGCCAGCACTGGTATCAAGCACAGAACCCATGAAGATACTCTCCTTCCTAAGAAGTGCAAAGCTTCTTTACAGGAGATCAGCACAATTAACATTCTGAGAAGTGTCATTAAAATTGTACTGATACTTCTCTTGATGAATTAGTAGTACTGCTAATAAATCTCCCTACCTTGCAGGAGTGAGAAGTACAAGTCAGCTGCATTCTTCATAATTTCTGGATTACAACTTGAGTCTGTAAACAGCTCCAATAGCTGTGTTCGAGACAACCGCAAGTCACTAAATGAAAAGAGAAAAAAAAAAAAAAGGAAAAAAAAACCCTAAGAAAACCTATTAAAAACGTACTAATACAGAAAAATCTTCCTTTCTCCTCTGGATACATATGACTGGACACGCAGCAGTGGATAAACAGTACTCAATCTACTGTTCTAACACTAACTAAAATAACTGTGCCTTTACCTACCAAGAGGTTGGGTGTACAGAGAGGAAGGGGAAGCAACAAGCAGGAACATTCTTCAACATTGGAATGGGATGATGAGATGAAGAGATAAGAATAGATCTGCAAAATAGGCTGAGGTCCCTTTTCATTACATTCCCACCCACAACAGAACAGTCAGGCCCTATCCACTTATGGAAATTAAGCAATCTTCTGCAGAGGAATGCACAGTCATCAGAAAGACAATGAAGTGTTTAGTCTTTTGCCTCTCCATTGTTGTAATTGGCCTCACTGTGCATTCAGAGACTGCAGAATTCATTCTCTGTAAGCAAATGTTCAGTATTAGCAGTGTCTTACTGTCTCCTTGCCTACACATCTCTAGTCATCTTCAGCTCAAAAACTGAAGAGCAACCATTACTTTTAAGGATGTCCCGCAAACTGTAAGAGGCAGAGTGAAGCCAGTCCTAAGTACACTTACTTGCAAACCTTCGTTGCCGCTGGAGTGGTGGTTACCCCATAATAATTAAATGAAATGGGAGCTGTAGCCTTCAGAGGATTGCGATGGAACCAGTGGGTCATTTTCTTCCTGCAGTGTTGTCTATGCCAAATCTAAGGAGGGGAAAGGAAAGAACAGCTGCAGGAACAGGTACAACTGAGGTGCTGCCCATGTCCTGGTCCTCTGCTCGCAAAAAGATATTCCAAATGTAAATAACTAATGTGAAATTAATTTGGTTTTTTTTCCCATTTGAAATGCCAAGCTTCCATATGCCTTGCGCTCATCATCCATGTGCTTTGTGTGAGAATTGCACTCTCTTGAAATACAAATGACTTCTGGGGCAACTATTTTAAGTTAGGCAAAAAGCTACCACCTACTTTGCTCTATGTGAGCACACACATTGCTAGGAAAAAAACCACCACATTTGTTACCTCCTGCATAAGGATGATCATACCTGTAAATTACATGAGAAATATCTCAGAATCACAGAATCAATTGGGTTGGAAAGACCCTGAGATTATTGAGCCCAACCTTTGTGAGAACACTACCATGTCAACTAGACCATGGCACTGAGTGACATGTCCAGCCTTTCCTTAAACACCTCCAGGGATGGAGGTGGGTGACTCCACCACCTCCCTGGGCAGCCCATTCCAATGTTTAACAACCTCTCCTGTGAAGAAATCCTTCCTAATGCAAAACCTGAATTTCCCTTGGCACAGCCTGAGGCCACTTCCTCTCATCCCATCACTTGATACCTGGAAGTAGAGGCTGATCCCCAGCTTGCCACCACCTCCTTTCAGGGAGTTGTAGGGAGTGATAAGGTCACCCCAGAGCCTCCTTCCTCCTTTCCAGGCTAAATCTCAATTCACTGAGAGCACTATACTGTATCTGGTCCATCTGTGAATAGCTTGTATTTGGGAGCCTTTGGTATACATGAACCTGCAACCATAAACCCTGATTGAAAACGTGAATCTATTTAACCACAAACCCTGACTGAAAACATAGATCTATTTACACAGGTGTATCAGACCTGGAAGGTTGGGAGGGCAGAGACAAACCCGAGTCTCTCTCTTCTTTTGCTTCAATTTCAGCAGACAAATATAACACAAGCATCACAGTGAGTTTTACAACAGCAGTGCGGGGTAATGAAACATACTGGACACATCCTGAACATGGGAGGGCCCTACTGGATAAAAGGTCACTATGAGACAGGAAAACTGAGAAGCAAGTGGTGTACTCTCAATTTCAAAGGTTTTCCAGACCTCACGGGACAAAGCCCCGAGCCCCTGATGTGACCTCGGAGCTGTCTCTGCTCTGAGTAGGCCGCTGGACCAGAGGCCCCCCCAGGGTCTCCATCATCCCGTGGTCCTTTTGGAATCCCTTCAGTTCATCCCTGTAAAAACGTTCTGCAGCTTTGCTGAGAAAAAACCAAACAAAACCAAAAGAGACCCAAAAAAATCTGCCAGCACTGATTCCCCGGCACTGCCCAGATCCCCCACACCGAGCAGGGGGTTCGTTCATCGCGCCGGCACCTCTCGGGGCTTGTCCGTCAGGCCAGCGGCTGTCGCGCCGTGACCACCCACCTGCGCAGCGCTGCTGTCCCCGCGGTGTCGCGGCCCAGCCCGGAACGGTCCCTGAGAGGATCTCGAGGCCGCGGGACCGCGGCCCGGCCCGGCCCGGCCCAACCGCTCACGGCGGTGGGTCACGCGATGGCACCGCCCCATCGCTGCCGATAGCATCGACCCCGCCGCTCGCCCTCCTCCCCACCGGAGTCCCCGGGCCGCCGCCAACAACAGCCCCGCGGCTGTAGGGCGTCCCCTCGGGACAGCGGCCGCCTGCACGGCCGGGGCCCACAGTCCTCCCGCGGGAAGGACCCCTGAACGTCATCAACACCGGCAGGAGCGGGCACACCAGCAACAGCATCTGCCCTCCCGAGGGGCGAGAGCCGCCCGCGGTGCTGCAGGGGGGGTCCCGGGACTTACCTGGAGGCGGGCCTGCGGTGGCGGCACGGCCGGGAACGGAGGGAGGAGCAGAGCGACCCCGCCCGGGCCCCGCCCATGCGCACGTGATCGGCGCCATGACAGGTACCGGGGCGGAAGTGGCGCTCTCGCCTCGGTAGCGATGGCGCGGGCGGGTGCGGCCAGCACCGCCTCCCTGGCTGGGCGGTGCGGGCGGGCGGGCGGTAGGCGCCGCCGCCGCCGCCGCCGCCGCCGCCGCGCTTGGGTGTCCCGGGGCCGTGCCGGGCGGTGCCGTGCCGTGCCGTGCCGAGCGGCTGTCTGGCGCGGTGGATGCCCCGGCGCGGGGTGAGCATGGTGCCCTAGCGCTGGGGCTATGTCGGAGGCGGCCCGCAGCCTCCTGCAGCGCTGGGACGCCAGCTTCAGGAAGGGTACCGATTTCGACTCCTGGGGGCAGCTCGTGGAGGCGATCGACGAATACCAGATGTGAGTGCGGGCCCGGCATGGCCCCAGAGTTCCGGACGAGGCGCCGGGGTGAGGGAGCGGCCCCGGCTGGGGCGGGGCAGGGCACGGCAGGGGGGCCCCGCGGGGCCCCGGCCGCGGCCCCCTCGCCCATGGGGCCCCGCTGGCTGCTCCGGCCCTTCCCCAAAATGCAGGGCCAGGGGCCGAGGAGTCCCTTGGTGGGGTGCCCGGCCGGGGTGCGAGGCGGGAGCCGGCCGTCCTGCTCTCTTGGGAGGGTGGCAGCGGCCGCCGTGGAGCTTGGAGCAACCTGGTTTGGTGGAAGGTGTGTCCCTGCCCATGGCAGTGGATGGAACAAGGTGATCTTTAATGTCCCTTTCACCCCAAACAAGGTTGTGATTTTGAGAGCGTGGGTTGCCGGAATGGTTGGTTGGTGGAGCCCCCGATGCACGATTGGACCAGGATGCCCCATCCCATCGCCCTGTTGCCCTGGCACCATGCTTGTGGCAGTGGAGCAATCTGGCAAGTGGGCTGCCTAAATATCAGCCTTAACCAAAAAACCCCACACAACCCATCAGAATGAAAAGGTGTCCAGCACATACTTGTGTGTTTTGTCCCTGAGGGTACCAGGGTGGGAGAGGGGAACCTGGCAGCCCCAGTCAAGTTGGCTGGCACAGGGTGTGACCGCACCATCCATGAATCCTTTGGCAGCAGAGGAGTATCAGCTGCAGGGCACTGATGATGGACTCCTTGGAAACACACCTGGTACCTTTAGTCAGATGTTCTTCCCTACTACTCCATTTGCCATGACAATGAAAGTTATTTCTTTGTGGCTGCAGTATTTCAGGCCAGGCTTCTTATGGTGAATTTTCTGGAAGTTGACAAGAGGGTTCACACTTGTTTGCCAAGAGAAAGTCAGCTGAAGAGATGCTCCCTGCGGGATCTTTTAGCACCTTTCAGGGCGGGTCAGGTTGGGTTCTAATGATGCCGGCTGCCAGTTCAGTTGTCATTCAGAGAAACTGGTCTGCTGGCCACTTACCGGGTGGTCAGGAGAGGCTGTAATCTCATAATTTCATTCACTCACCAGGAAGGATGAAGTGTTACTTGTCACTGCAAGTTTAGTGATATGCAGTTTGCTGATGGCTTTTAGAGTAGGGCAGGCTGTTACTCTACAAACCTTGGCAGAGAGATGAAAAGAAGTTCTCTTCCAGATCTGTATCTCAGCAGAAAAAAAGAATCATCAAGAAGTAAAATATTTTTACTAACTGCCCTTATGTGGATGTCTACAAGGAGTCCAGTACGATCCTAATTCTTTAAACCGTCTAAGCAGTCTGAGCAGTTAGTTTCATATAATGATGTTTCTTTGGAATGAAAAGTCTTTGGGCTCTCCTTCTGAGCTCTGTCCATTGAGAAGTGAGGTCACTAGACATTTGCCGGCAGTCCAGTTTGAGAATAGGAGTGTTGCCTTCCTCACTCTGTTGCTTGTGTTGGACAAGAGCTGAGGTGATCTCCACACCCTGGCTCTGTTCTGACCTGGGAGCAGTGTGGTGTCATTGTAAGGAAGCTCCTCTTGGGTGGAAGCTGCTCTTATCAGTGAGTTTTTACTAAATACTTGTCAGTAGATGAGCTCTGTGGTCTGAGGAGTGAGTAGAAAGGAGAGAGAAGATCAAGGGATTACAGGGAGATATTTCCTAGGGAGGAGCAAAACCTTTTCTGTGTGTATATTTTCTTTATCCTGTATCTATAGCAGGTAAATAAATAATAACAATATCAAGCTGTAGGATAGAAGTTGCAAACAAGCAGCACAGGAAAAGATACTGAGCTGTAGTTGTGGAGAGACATTACAGGATGCGTTTATGGTGTTGCCTTCTCAAAGGCACCCTGAGACGGGATGAACAGGTGTGGTGCTGCTCTTGTCCAGGTGCTGTGAACATCAGCACATTCTGTGCTGATCCACACAAGCATCCTGGAGAGAAGCTGCTTACACAGAGCTTGCTGATGCTGAGAAAGCTTGGATTTGAGAAAAATATGAGTCCTGCTGGCTGCTGATGTAAAAGCACAATTATGTGCCTCCTGTCTCTATCTGTTCAGGTCTTCAGGTTGCCCCTAGAAGTACAAGAAACTTGGTACAAAGACTGGCCCTCAATCATTTGGAAATTCATGCAGGAGTCCTTTGAGCTGTCAGCAGTGGCTTCCCTGTTAAATATCCCCATAATGGAACTTGGTCTCATCTAACTTTGAACGAGCTTCAAGGGGAATGCCAGATGCATTTATTTGGCTTAGGGTGGATATTTTTTGTATTAGTGACAAATGGAAAGAAGGTTGTGTTAGTGATGCTTGCAGAAATGTTAATGCTGTGATGCTGCCTGTTGTGGGTGGCATATTGCTGCTATGGTAATCTGTTTTCTTAAATCATTATAATGCTCTTTCTCTGTGTCCTGTGTATCATAGGGCAGGGCAGTAGGCAAGGAGTGTACTTTTGTGTTCAAGTATGTTTATGCTTTTTGTCTTTTCTCAGCCCCAGTCTTTCTCCCATTTTTGAAGTGGGACAATTCTACCAAGTTGTGCAGTTACCTCATCCTATTTGGTTGTGTTTTTCCTGGAGAGTTAAAAGCTACAGTGGCCTCAATCAATATGGGCATTTTTGAGAGCTGATTTTGAGGAAAAGTAAAGAAATTGAATTCTGATTTTTGTTCCTGTGGCTTTGACAACAATCTCTTTTGCTGGATGTATCTTGGTGTATATATTTTATAAGCGCCTCCTAAAGCTGTGCCAATACCCACAGCAGTGGTAGAGAGAAGCAGACTCCCTTTCACAGTGCAAAATGGTGAGGTTCCAGGAAGAAGCCTATTGTGATGTCCCTGGGTTTCCCCTCCACCCCTGTCCTCCCTCTCCCTCTGCTTGTAAAAAACATTATTTACAGGGAATGGCAACAAGTGCCCAAAGGATTTGCCTGTTTAATGTTCTTCTTCCTCCTGGGACAGAAATTGTACTCTTCCCATAGCTTTCCTCCAGCTTCTTTTCGCTCTCTCGAGCTGTTTGCTTACTGTTACTTTCCAAACCCCTTGGTATTCCTGCCTTGCTGATGACAAGGCGTGAGGTTTGTGCTCCGCCTGTGATGCTGACAGGCACAAATGTGAGTGGATCCACCCTGGCAGCCTGCGCCAAGCCGCCCTGTGCCTTCCAGTACTGGGACAGCATGTGCCTGGGTGCCCTCACCTGAGCCCCCTGGCATCTCCCTTGCCTCAGCCTCTCCCGGGAAATGCATGTGGGATTGCACCACAGTGAGTCTTCACAGGGGCTGTGGTTTGTTATTATAAAAGAAAGGGATTGTGAGAGGAAAAAAGTCAGTGCTTGTAAAAGGGGCTGTTGGCTATAATGACCCTCTTACCTGTTCTTTCATGATGCATTAGTCTTTCCTGCCTAATGTAGTTGCATACTTTGTCCACCTTCTGGAGTTTTTTCTTAAGTATGAACTACCATGGCTATAGAAATCTTTGTTTCAAAAGACAAAAACAAAGGAAAAACACAACAGCAAAACCAACCCGAACCTCTTTGGAGCAGCAGTCTGTGAACCTTTTGGCTGACACATTTTCTGGAGCTGGGGTGTGTGTGTTTGTGTTGTGTTCCCCCTTTACAATTTTCTTTTCCCCCATCCAGATTAGCCAGGCACCTCCAGAAAGAGGCACAGTCTCAGCACAACAGCTCGGAATTCACAGAAGATCAAAAGGTGAGTACTGCTGTTTGCTCAGACAAGAAGTTTGACTCATAGATGTTGATGTGTGTTATGTTTTTTTATCTTGCAGGTCAGAGCCTTATGAGACCTTTGTTCCTTCCTCAATGTACACAAACAGCAACAGAGCCCAGAGTGGCTAAAATGGTTGCTGTTGTTAGATGTGAGGGATGCTCTGCTGTGCTTTTGAATGTCAGGCATGCTGGCCTGTTTCTCTGGCCTGTGTTTCTTTTTTTTTTTTGATTTATGTTTGATAACTTGCTTATTCAACATTAGCACAATTTATGTCATGAGTTCTGAATACAAAACATCTTGAACTACAGACAGTGAGGGGTGTTAGGGGGATGAAAGCTTAACATGTAACACCTGACAGGGAAGGGTCCTGGCAGAATACTCCCTAGCAGCCTCTTAGAATGTTATTTGTTTATAATCTTTCAAAATATTGAAATTACTTTACTCCTTCCTCTCTCCCCTCAGTTGAAAAGGCTGATTCTTGTCTCAGCAACATACTACTTCAGTTCTGTAATGGGATTTAAGTGGACTCATGCACTCAAGCATTTACTGCAAAATAAAATCTTTAGAGATATGAGCCCCTACTAAATTTCCTTGTCTTCTATAAAGGCATGTTTTTCTTAGGAATAAAAAACTAGAGACATGTATTTCCAGATTTTCATGTCATAAAATCACTTGTTTTAGCAATGCTGTTACCTGAAAATTGACATTTGCTAGCTCAGAGTCTCCCCAGTGGTAATAGGATGCAAGAGCAATGGGAGCTGTGCTTAGGAATGTAAGTCCTGAAAACAGGTGCTGGCTACAGAAATTTGAGATGAACTTGATGTGTATAAAGAAACTCAAAGAAATGCACCTTTACATAGACTCTGAAAGAGATTTGTAGCTGTTTCCTCTATGTGTACCAATATGAAAAGCAAAGACCTGGTCTTCCATGTTCTGCTTACCTTCTGCAAAGATGATAAAGCTCATGATTGCATTAAACGGAGCCATAATTTTGGAGAAGAATTTGGTCCACTTTTCCTGATTTGTAAGCAGCCATGAGAGCCTTGTTAATGTTGGACAGCTGTTTATTCCTTGAATGCTTCTGCTCTCCCTCCCTTGCTGGTAGCTTTCTCCATCATTCTCAGCTAGAGTAATCTTTACTGTGTGTTTCTTCTCTGTGGAGACTTTTGAAAATGTAGTTACTTCATGAAGGCAAAGCTGTTAATCTCACTTCTGGAGACATCATCTCCAGTGAGTATGGGAACCAGAACCACACAGGGTTTGCCTCCAGATGTTCCCTGAGTCTTATGAAAAGGATCTTGGACCAGATTGTGGAAGTGAATGAGGTCAGCCATGAGGGAAGGCCTGGGGGGCTCAGAAAGTGGAGATAACTGACCTCAGATGTTTCATGCACAGGTGCTGTCATGTCTTAAGGCAACAGTCTTCTGAAAAGAAAAAAGTAATGGGTGGTGGTCCTAGCAGAGTGATAGCCGTTTCTAAAGCTGAAATAATTTCTAAAAGAGGATGGCATTTTTATCACTTGCTGGTTTTTGCCAATCATTATGTTGCTGATGCACTGAATCTTTGAGTCTGTTTATCAAATAGCAGTGCCTGTTTCATTAGCCACATGCATAAACCAATTCCCCAACATTTTGTTGAAAGAGCACTTTATCTCCTCTACCATGAGGAATGCTAGTCACCAAAAAAAAAAAAAAAAGGTAGAATTTTGCTAGTGCTTAAAAAAAGCACTTAAAACTCTGCACAGCAGAATCTCTGATGTAAAAGCTCCTTGCTGTGCTTGTGTTCCCTATTTCTGCAGGAGCTCATCCAGTATATCATTAGTCAGTATGACTAATTACTATCACCACTATTATCATTCATATGGCATGTAGCTGGAGGGCTTGGTGCATACTGGGTTTGTAAGTGGTTTTATTAAACAGAAATGTATCTTCTTTTCCCCTGTCCTTCTAAAAATCAGCTACAAATCAATAACTTTTGCTCAACTATTCTCCTGACAGTTCACCCACCAGCATGCTCTTTCCTCCTGGTTCCCAAAACCTCTAAATCTCTTTCCCTAATATCTTGACTTTCTGCGGCTTTGGATGTTGCACAAGGGCCACTTTTTGTTTGTTTGTTTGTTTTGTTTGTTTTGTTTTGTTTTTGTTTATCTGTGGAAGAATCTGTAAGTCTGTAGCCTTCTGGGTTTGCTCATCTGATGTCACTGGCCAAGGCTACGTGCAGAATTTTGTAGATTGAAAGGCCATGAAGGTGATTATGATTTCCACTTGCTTGATCTACCCTCATTGCAGTTTTTTTGTAGATTTTCAGTCAGCTGTTTTCCAAAGGACCCTACGTACTGCTGAGAATTGTGAGGCTGTCGTTTCATACTTGACCTACCCTGTGGTGAAGGTGGATTTCAGCAGTGATTCCTCTGTAGCAAGGGGATGCTACATTCTTTACAGCTGCAAGGAAAGGACCAAGACTATGTTCAAATCCTCATCCCTGTCTGTCTGTATGAACTTTTACCACATTTGGGTTTATTTCATGAATCACAGGTGTTACAGTGCAGATATGGCCACATGAAAATTGATGGTGTGTTACTTGCTAATGTAATCGTACAATCTGTTAATCTTAGAACACTTGACAGATACCACCAGTTTCTTTCCTGGTCATACTGTGAGCCAGTTATCATTTATCTTCTAATGCATGTATTGTTTATGATAAGAATTTGGGCTTTTAAATAGTCATATCTCCCATTTTTGCTCCTAAAGAATCAGTTTTGAAACACTATATGCTACTTGCCTTGATAGAGCATACCCCAGAGTTTGTTGTTCACTTCTGTATTTTCAAATTGTGATGGGTTGTCATCTTACAACTATTACTGGACATAATTCTGTATTTTTCGTTCTCTGTCTTGAGTAATTGACAGTGCTGAACTCTTAATTAGTGATTGTGAATTTTATTGAAGAATTTCTCTGCAGATCCTGTAAACAGCAAATCATTGTGTTTAGTCTCCCTTCAACAGCTACAAAGAGGCTGTGCAACAGTTTTGTCACTGAGAGGCAGCATGTGTGGAATATGAAGAGTTACAGCTCCTGGTGAATTTACCTCAGTCTTAACATTTTGAATACTGCTGTTCACTGTTTTACCTCCATTCTTTAAAAATCCCATCTTCATTCATGAGCAACTACTGTGTTTTGTGATGGGAATTATTCCAGTTAGGTTTGGCTGTGTCTTTCAGTTTGCCTCCAGCTACAGTTACTCTCACCCAGTTCTCTGTGCAATAAATGTGACCCTTAAAGCCCTCTTCCAACTACAGTTGTTGCTTCTTGTGTAACTGTTTTTGTGCTAGGCTGAGTTTTCATCAGAGTTTTCATCAGAAAATCTTGCTTTTGAAGCATGATAACTTGCTGAAATATGAGCACTGTTGAACAGTCTCAGTATGATTCATTAAACTGCTGGTTTTCTAACAGCCTAAACTCTGGTTAAAGCCAAGCTCTGCTCTGGCTCTTTGTGCAAACGTCTTTGCCTGCATTACAGTTAGCACAGTCCTTACTCATGCAATTCCTCTGAAGAAACCTTGACTATGAGATCAACTTACTTTTCCCCATTCTAATCACAAGTTTATGTAAAACAGAATCTAAACTATTTTAAACTAGCTAAGTTAATTATGGCTTCAGTCTTTCTAATGAGATGCAGAATGTTTTCCCTGCTGCAAAGAGGAGCCTTTGCAGCAGGGATAGTTGCAGCTGAAAATGATAGCAGTATTTAGCTGCATTTTTAACTTTTGGGTTGGGTGTGGTCCCTTAAAAAATAGTTATGAATAATGCCTGCTGGGAGCTTGCCGTATTTCAATAGATTCCATATAAAACCTATTCTTTACTATTTTAAGACTCCCAAACTCTCTTACTTTAATCTGTTTCTAGAGCCATTTTTGCCCTTCAGCTCCTAGGAGCCGGAGGACACACATTTTGTATTGCTCTTTGTTCTGTGAGGGGGTTCCTAGTTTGGGCGGTTTTCAGAACACACAGTTATGAATCTGCAGGATAGGGAGTAGTGGAGTTGTTGAATTATTGGTGAATTGACACAGGAGACAGGGGTTGAGCAGTGCTTTTGACACCTCTTTTATGGTGTGGGCTTAAAGAGAGACCAGGAGGGGCAGAGCCAGGTAAAAATCTGTTTACATGTTCTGGTTCTGTGGTGGGGCATAGAGTCTGTGTGCTGGTACCCTGCAAATTTATAGCCCTCTTTCTGTTGTGCAAGAAGAGGAATTTTGATCTCACACAGAATGGGCATGTTCTTTGCTCAGCAGTCAACACCCTAACCATTGGAACAGCTGGACTTTAGCAAATGCTGGAGCTGTAGTCAAACCTCAGAGATTCCCCTCCCTTCCCTTGGGAACCTGTGGACTCCTTTCTTTTACACATTTTTTCACACCTTCCTCTTTAGGAATCTGCCTTTGCAGAAATAGTTTTCCAGATGTTCACAAATAGAAAAAGTAATTCCTTTTGTTATACTGCAGCTGATTAGATGGCTGTAGTGTGTTCTCATTCTAGGGACTGAGAATCTGCTTCTGCAGTACTACTTTGTGTCCTCCCACCCAGCCTGGCAGTACATGTAAACAAATCCACAACGCCCACATATGCAGTGTTGGTCTGAAAGTCTCAAAGTAAACTCAGGACTCTCTGTGCTATTTCCAAATACCTGTATTTTTTCAAGCTTTGCTGGAGATCCAGTCATGGCTCTCTGTTGTATTAGCAGAATTTATTTTGGGGAGGAGGAAATTTGTTGACTGAACAATGTGTCCTGTGTTAATAGGCATCACTCACTGCTTTTTGGGAAGGTGCTCAGAAGAACTAAAGTTTTTGAAAGACTGCCATACAATGGACAGTAATAAAAAATTACGAAGATATGAAGTCTGGCCTAGTGCCATGTTGTAACAGTGTTAAGGGGAGATGCCAGCTGGGGAGAAATGGCTTCAAAAACTTTGATGAGTCTGTGGTGGCAGATGAAAATCAGATATCTGAGGCTTTTGCACGCTCCAGCTGTTGGCTCTGCACTTGAGGTATTGATGTGTGACTTACTTACGATTCAGCTCCTGAACTCTTTCAACTTTCAGTGTAGCCTAAGGTGAACTGAAACTGCAGTCACTTAGTTGAAATTACTGGGGGCCTAGGAGCAGGTTGAGAAGGATTTGTGACACCACTTTGCAGGAGAGCCAGAACAGGTGATGGGGGAGGCACCTTTGAAAACAAGCGTAGTTTTTATCTGCTGTTACCAACCTCTTGGAGTCCAAAAAATATAACCCTCCTTTTGGATTTGACTGTCACTGCATAGATTGCCAGGTGCCCATACTCTTGAAGTTCTTTGATGCTAGAATTGTGCTCTTGGAAATCTTTTCCTCACCTTGCATCCATCTTGTGGAGAAGCTGTTTTTATACTGCCTGATTTAAAAGGAGAGAATGAGTTACAAGTGTGTATTTCAACTTTAATCTTCCTTCTGGGGGGAAATTTAATTTGAAAGTAAACCTCTTTTCTTTATAGCTTCATTGTTGCTGGTTTTCTTGCCCTATAAATATTTCACAGAGTATTTTGAGTTTATATCTGGCACTTATTACTGCACATTGTCTGAGTTTTTCTTCACAAAAAGGTTTTAGTCAATGAACAAACTTGTGATGGTCAGGAAAAATACAATTGTGTCCTCTTCATGTCACTAACGGAAGTCTTAACTCCTCATTTCCACTGGTAGTAACAGAAACAAATGTGACTTGTTGGAGCATCTTACTTTGTGAGACATAAAAGCTTAAAACTGTCTTCAAAGCAAGACTCCTTGCAATGAGCTATTCTGAAGCCCTTCCCTCTCTTCTGCAGTTTTAAATGAAAATGAGAAATTACTTCACAGTTCTGCTCACAGATATTTTAGATTGCTGACAAGTTTGAATTCAGACATATATTCCATGATTCACTCACAGTTTAAATCTCTTAAAATCACAAAAATAGAGAGTTAGAAAGATAATCCACCTTTAGGCTTTGTCTCCCACCAAAACCCACAGGAGTGGGCTGTGTTTTTTTTAGGGCTGAGATACTGGGCAGCTCTAATGTCTGATGTGGGTGGACTTGGTCTGCTGAGGTTGGGAGCTGTAGGCTTGGCTCCTAAAAGGGCAAATCAGCACAAGCCACTGAGGTTCTCAGGAGGTAATAGGCTGCTTGGCTTGGATTTTTTTTTATTTTCAGTCTCCTATCACCTGAGAGCAGTTGAGTTTATAAACAGTTTGTGATGTGGTAAGCATTATTACAGTTTCGGCAGAGTGAGCCCCCATCTGTGTTGTTGGGCTGTGGGAGGGGAGTTAAGTGGCAGATGTCTTTCATCTATTGTGCTTTCAGTAAATCCTGCTTGTCTATAAAAAAAGCTTCTGATGCTCAATGGTCTGGTACTGAACAATAGACCTGAAACCTTTGCAAAAAAAAGGCAACTGTTTTTACATTCTTAAAAAGTGTCAATCTGGACAAATACAGTTTTAGTACTAAATTTTTTTTTTTCCATTTCAGAAAACCATAGCTAAAATTGCAACATGCTTGGAACTGAGGAGTGCAGCTTTACAGGTATAGCTCTTTTTCCTGACTTCATACTTTAGGAGCAAATAAAAGCTGTAGAGCTTTTTAAAACTTGTTTACTGTCTTCAGAAATACCCAAACTTCTGAAAATGGAGTGAACACTTGGAATTTCCAGGCTGTTGTCAATGGCCCAGGTGACTGCCTTAAGAAAGGCTGCAAGTACTTATGTGTTGGTGCTTGTACAGGAATTTAACTCCACATTTTGTGTCTTTGGTTCTCTGCCTCATTTTCATACTTCTCAACTGTTTAGTTTCTCTTCCTAACATGTGTGTAAGGTTAAAAAAATCACCAGAATGACCCTTAGACTTATTCAGCTGCTTCACAAATCATAATAGACCAGAAAGAAGAATGTGTGTGTAGAATAAAAATTACTTTTTATCTGTCATGAAAACTGGCAGTGCTCTAGGAAAATGTGGGAAAACAATAATTTGTAAACTACTCTTTGGGCTTTTTTTCTGGATTGAAAGTAGGTGTCATGGGCATGGATATCATTTTTTCTCAGCACATGCTTATCCCCAAAACAAAAACAAGTGAGAGAAATTTCCAAAAGACCATGGATGGGGAAGGGATAAATCAGTCTGGGTTAGTGGATTACCTCTTTGCCAAGAAAGAGTGATGACAGGCAAATTTTGCATCAAGTTACTCCCAGCAGCACTGCCAAGTACTTCATTTTGCTGGACAAGGTGCTGCCTGCAATTGTCTGAAAGGCTGGGATACAGTGTGCTGGACTCATGAGATGGGGGCTGACTAGTCTTGAGGCTGTGTAGAATTTGAAGAATTGTTTGGTTACCTCTACCTGTCGTTCTATTTTGATCTAACCTGGGGTGTTTGAAGAATGTTTCATTTGCTTGGAGTCACTGTGACTTTGAGGAGGGCCTGCATGTTCCACTATGGAACAGCTTTGTGGGTCAGGTCACATCTGGGAGCAGCAGCAGAAGCTGCAGCCATGTCATAACCTGCCAGGCTGGAGAGGTGATGTTATGCAAGAACAGCCTTACTTGCTGTTGATTCCCCAGCAGTAAGTCAAGGATTTTATAACCTTTTGAAAGGGTACAAGAACTTCTTGCCCACTTCACTTGGGGAGGTTATGGTTTCTTAGCAGAGGTTAAAGCAGTGAGTGTGCTTACCTTTTCCCACTCTCCTAACACTAAGGGTGTAGCTGCTTTAGTATCCTTACACAGATAAGGATACTATACATCGTCTTGCAGGAGGTCCCTATTCACTCTTGGACAAAATCAAGAAAAAAAATCTAATTGGACCTTAAATGTTGAAAGCAATGGGCAATCTTAAGGGATGCCAAGGGTGCAATGACATAATAGGTAAGACCTGACCATCCAATCAGAAGAGAATGTCCAGTGTCAGTCCTCTTATTTCCACTTCTTTTTATGCCAGCTCTGCCACTTGTCTCAGAATAAACTAATCTTACCAAACTGTTGGTGAGCTACCTCAGAATAAAAAGTTAGGAACTTCTCTGTTGAATTAATAAGTCAGATAGGTTTACTGAGAACTGTACATGTGTGTGCCACAGACAGAGGAGGAAACCATCATGAGAGCTGGAGAAAAGAAAGATTGGAATTCGTCTTCTATTTTCAGTGAGTTCTTAGCTGAGTTTTGTCAAGTTCGTCCTGTGAACTGTTATTTCTGCCAGTGTCACAATGTTGGACACGTGTCTTGGAATATGAATGTTCCTGTGTGCAGTAAGGAAGAATTTACAACTAGTTAGTTTAAAAATATTTATATTTCATTAGAGCTTGGAATATTGGACAAGTTTGTTCTTAATAAGTGAGAAGTAATGTAGTCTCTGCCTCACCTGTGAGCCTGCCTTTTTTTGGGGGGATTTTTTGGGGGGATGTAGCTTTGTAGTAATTTGGTGTGCTTGAGCAAAGAAAGCACCTTGCATGCTTATTCTGAGATGAGGAAGGTGCATATGAAGATCTGACTCTTTCTTTGTACTGTCCTAGTCCACCCAGTCACAGGATGAGTTTAAGCTTGAGGATCTGAAGAAGTTGGAACCAAGTAAGTGGTATCTTTGTATTTTGAATGCCATTTATCATGACAGGGGAAAACATGACAGCAGCAGGAATACTGACTAACCACACTGCAGTTCAACAGTGATGCTGGGTTTAGGTGCTTATTCCAAGTGTCTGTTACCACACAGAGAAAATCTGATGTGTATTAAGGAATGTAATGTGAGTAATTTGAAAGTACAGTAACCCAAATGTTTCAGGTAATAGATTCATCTTCATTTTCAAATAAGCAATTTGGGCGCTGCTAATTTTTGCACAAAATAGTATTTTAAGCTATCAGTAGTACATTGTATAATTTACCTGCGCATTTCTTATTTGAACTGTATTTCACCACTTTGTGGTCTTCCTTCTTGCAGCATGAAATTTATTTTTTTCTTCTGAAAGTATTTCACTTGTGCTTATGGTAGCCAATCACCTATTACCTCCCACTGTAATGCTACCAGACCAGCGAAGGTGAGAGTCAAAATGAGGATGTGAGTCAGTCTTTGAAGAGTTTTGTGTGATGTTTTTTTCCAGCTGAATCTGGGTCAGGTCTTGGTATGTCAATCCAGAAATAGCTTTTTCATATAGGAAGTATCTATTTATCTGCTTAATTTTCTTTCCTGTAACAGTGGCTGCTTTTTCCTCAAAGCATCCTTATGATTAGAGCTGCCACATCTAAGCAATATTATCCTGAATGTTAATGTTTCTGCAATTCTCAGGGAACAGGAAATGTGGAAGAGCTTCTTTCATGCTGATTGAAGTTGGTTTTATTTTGGTTATGACACAATTGTTAGATTAAGCAGCATGTTGGAGATAAATATGATAGGCAGGCAAGTGTTTCCCCTTCATGAGTAGGCTGAGCTTCTCTGCACAGGATCCTACAGGGGAGCTTGTTAAGAGGTGGAGCATTGAGCTAAGCTTCCTAATATCTCTACCACAACATAGAGTCCAAATGCTTTTAAACTGTTCCTTGAAAGTGCAAAGTGAAGGTGTGTTACAAAACTGCTGGGTCTTATGGGTGGAGACCATAACTCAGGAAAGGATTTAACTGTGTGTTGGAATATTTGGTCTTCCTCACTCTACATATTGCACGTCTGGCTTCTGAATTCTGACTTGGATTTTTCTGTAGATTTTGCTGCGCGCTGTTTACAAAGTATTTAAAATATTGTAATCATTGAATGACTGTGGATTTTAGACTTCATTGTGCAAATGCCCTGTGAATGACTGAGTGATGGAAGAGAGACAGGAATCTTGTCCAAAATTTCAATTATGGTGCAACAGTCCTGTTGCTTATCTTGCCCTCCATCACAGAATTGGTTTTTTGCTGTCAAAAAAACTGCTCAGCAGTGTGAAGTGCACTCAGCCCATACCTCATACAACAAGCAACTATATTAAAACTGAGAAAGAGTGTGTGGCCATCAGTTTTCAAATACACTGAGTTATTTTCCTTGGAGGAGAACAGGTGCTTCTACAACAACAATTGAACACTGATGTTCCTAATGCTGCTGTCTTGGATGGTTCTGGCCTCTTTCTTTCTGAATTGTGCCTTTGTTTTTGTGGTTTTTAAGTGTGTCTTGAATAGAATAAATCTTAATCAGGCCAATACCAACCATTTCATAAAATGCACTGTGAAGTGTTTTGGTTTGCATGTTGTCACTTTTCTTTTGCATCCCACCAGAAAAAGCTAAAAAAATCTGGGCTGGCAATGTAAATAAGTGATTCCTTTGTTAGGTCAAGCCATTCCATTAGGGTGGAGCAAAAACAGCTATTCACACAATTTGGCTTGTTTTAATTACTTTTGTGCCTGAAGCTGTCAGAATGATTTTGGTGTTGTTATAACAACCAGGACCCTTAGATTTCCTTTTTTCTTTTCCCTTAATCTTGTGCTGTTGAGTTCTGACTTTTTCTATTTGAGCTTGCATTTCATGCAGATTGGAAAGTGAAGCAGTTGGCTACTTCTGTTTGTTTATAGAATTTGTCACTGAATAGTTTGTGCTGGAATAATGCTACAGGTGGTTCCATACATACAAATAGCTCTTTTGAGGCTGCACTGTGTGAAGTCATTGTTAACACACTGGATTTCAAATAGATTTCTTTGTGGAAGCTTATACCAGTGTTAGAATGCGCAGTACAAATGGATGGGCTGGGACATCCCTTGTGCCTGAGTGATAATTATAAGACAAGTGGGTACTGGGTTGTACTGGGGAGCATGGTGTCTGAATTATTTTATGTTGTTTATTTAAAAGAAAAAAAAGTATGGCTATCAGAAAAAATCACTGTCACAGAAAACCTAAATGGACAGTAGTCTTTACCAAGTTAATGTGTCCTGATTTTCTAGCTTAGGTTGATAATTTCTTTTGAAAATTTTCAAGAAAGAGCCAACTACTGATAAAATCAGACTGTGAGGATGGTGAAGGGCCTCGAGGGCTAACCTTATGAGAAGTGGTTGAGGTCACTTCATCTGTTCAGGCTGGAGGAGACTGCTGTTAAAACTTCCTTATGAGGGGCAGGCACTGATCTGTGCTCTGTGATGACAGAGACAGGACCTGAGGGAATGCCTGAAGTTGTCAGGGGAGGTTTAGGTTGGAGATCAGGAAAAAGGTGCTATACCCAGAGGGTGGTTGGGCACTGGAAGAGGATTCCCAGGGAAGTGGTCACAGCACCCACCTGACAGAGTTCAAGAAGGGACAATGCTTTCAGGCTCATGGTGTGATCCCTGGGGTGTTCTGTGCAGAGCCATGAGCTGGACTGTGATGATCCTTGAGGGTCCGTTCCAACTCGGGAGATTCTGTGATTCTATGCAAATCAAAGTGAGACTGTCCAAAGTCATGAAAGAAAAGGCAACTTCTGTGCAAGAGCCTGTAGAACACTATTTTAAAAAGATTTCTGTTGGCAATGCAGCACAGATGGAGGCCATGATGTTGCAATCCATTAGTTGCACTTGTGGAGAATTTTCTGGGAATCATATTCTCAAGCAGCAACATTACAGAGGGGAAGGGCTTTTTTTTCCCAGAGGTAATTGTGTTTTTGAAAATGAAACAGAGATCCAAAAAAGTTCAAACCAGCCTTTTAAAGCTTGGATGTCTCACACAGCATTACAAGGGAGATTCCTGTTCATAGTAACCTAATTTTTTTTCCTGTGATCTGGTATTTTTATTTGAATCAACTGAAGCTCATACTTTTGGCAGATGCAAAGAGGATTTTCCTTTTCCTCCAAGTTTTATTGCTTAGCTTTTTCTCTGTGGCTTTGAATAAGTATTTCACCAGGCTGAGTGCAGTGGACCTGTTGCTTATCCTGTTGATCTTTAAAGGAGCACGTAAATTGCTGTGTTACTACTTTGCAAAATTATTTGCCATTGGTGGTGAGACAAGAATTGAAAGCTGTTTAAAAACTTGAGCCACAGCTTTGTGCAGCAAAAGGCAAGAGGCTCTGCTTCTATGCTGAATATTCAGCACCACATTTGTTCCTGGCAGGACAGGGGTGCTCAGCCTCAGGCAGCAGCTGCAGGATTTTAGGTGCTGTAGAACTGTTTGCCTCTTGCCTGGGCTCGTGTCAGTAGAGCTCTTTGGGCCCTCTAGTGATGCCTGAAATGAATTAGGAGGAGGGCTTTTTTGCTTGTAAGGGGACCTGATTAGTAGAAGAAAGGAGTCTAGCACTTGTGAACCTTTGGAAAGTGGGAGGAGAGCTACTGTGACGCCTGTCTCTTCTGTTTAATGTGCCTATGATCTGTAAGAGATCTCACTTCACTAAGGTTTTCCTCCTGGGGTAGTTTCACTTTCTGATATGAGGTATATCTCTGAGAGCTGGGGAATTCTGAGAGTAATAAAAATTGCCTTCTTTTCCTGAACCTCAGCAGCACTGGGAGATGACTGTCTGCTGTTGATCAGCTGCTTTTCTGGTAGGAATTGGCTGTGATTCTTCAGATTCATGTTGAGATCTGCATTACTGGTTACTCAGAGCAGAAGTCTTTGGAGAGAGAGACATGGTGTCAGTTTTGTCTCTCATCAAAGCTCTGACTGAATGCACTTTAAATCTTTCTCTGTATTTATGTATTGTGACTGGCTGGGATCAGGCACTGGTTAACCTCTCATGTTGTAGCACAAAAATCAGAAAAAAATCAGTGTGAGTAAAGACTGGAAAGACTTTTTGGTTTCTTTATAGTTTCCCAGAGGAATAATTTATTCTTAGAGCATTCAGATGGTGTCTAGTAAGCTAATGCAGGAGCCCAGGCTGGATGATGGAAATGTGAAGGCAGACAGGGAAGCTCTCCTGCACTGGCTGAGTTGTAGTGTGCTCAGAGGGGCCTGGCAATGGAATTTAAGCATAACTGGTATTTAGCTACCTCTTGGTATTTGTGTAATCTCAATGTTGTTTAAAAAGAGTTTTGTTTTCATTCAGAAGTCTTAAGGGGAGAATTCCTCTGCTCTGAGAGTGCTTATGGTGAAGTGAAGCTCTCTGAGGGGTGTCAGGGGTTTTTCTCTCTGCTCCCCCTACCAGTCTGGGATATTCATTGTCTGGTGGGAGAGTGCCTCTCCCTGCAGGTTTCCTCTTGTGAATTTTTAGGCCCTTTAGCCATGTTGAAATGCTTATTTCTTTCACATATCTTTGGAAGTTTCTCTTTCACTGGTAGTTATGTTTGGAAATGGCAGCTAAAGTTTGGATTAATAAAATGCGAGCAAATTTCCAATATAAACAGCAAAGCCATTCTGCATGAAATTCTGAAAGTATAGGTGATGTCTCTGGGGCTTGGTGCCCAGATGTTGTACTTTATCTCTCCTGAATTTTAGCAATCTGCCCAGATATATGAGGGCAGATAAAAAGAAAACACAAACAAAGGCATCGCCACCACCAAACAAAACCCCAAAACACATGACTGAAGAAGTAGAAAATCTCACCAAACCTTTGTGCTAGCAGCACACTTGGTCTCCCATGGTGGCTGCCTGAATGTGCACCCACATGTGTCAGCTCAGGTGATCTCAGTCTGTTTGGAGCTGGTGCCAGTAATGCCACCACCCTGCTCTCAATAGCCGCCAAAGATTGCTACCCTCACCCCAGGGGCTGTAGCTTTTTCTCATTAAGATTTTGGTTATTGCCAAATTTATCTTATCTGTCTGTGTGGGTGTGTTAGTAGTAATCTTGTACTGCAGTTGCAGTTCACCTGTCTGAATGTTATAGTGATATAACTTTGGTCATAGTTGTGCTGGTGTTTAAAACATCTGAGAAGAGGGGTGTTTTTTGTATGATCTTATTATTTTAAGAATTTTATTATTATTATTATTTGTGTGTGAAGATGCTGTCAGAATGGACATAGCTGCGCAAAATAGTAGAATTAATGCTGGTTTATGAGATGGATTTTTATTTTTTCTCTTCTCTGCAGTCTTAAAGAATATCCTCACTTACAATAAGGAGTTCCCCTTTGATGTTCAGCCTGTCCCACTCAGGTAAGAGAGAACTTCTTGCACATCACTTCATGTAAAGATATGTACTTGAAAGGGAGTACAGTCTGGGCCTGGTGTGTACCTGAAACATTTCTAGAGCCATCTGCTTGCCAGACTGCTTTGTGTAAATGGGTTAATAAAAGAACTTTCAAACTCTGTTTGTCTAGGTACCACTAAAAATCAAGACCATACTTTTGATGAAATCAGTACTTGGTGCATCCCTACATCTCTCTGTAATTTCCAGTGTCATCTCCTGGCTTTAGGCTCTGTGCTTTCTATTGGTCTGAGCTCCTGCAATCTCTGTCAAAGTCTGTAGGTAGAGGTAGAAGTTAAGAAGTATAAAATGACATTAAAGAGTATTGTCCATGCTCATGTGCTGGCTTGTGAATTGACAGCCGGGTGATGAGTGAGTGTTGGTCTCATTTCTTCTTTCTTGTGTTTTACAGGAAGATTTTAGCACCTGGAGAAGAGGAACACTTGGAGTTTGAGGAGGATGATGAGGAAGGAGGAGCTGGAGCAGGCTCTCCAAACTCTTTTCCTGCTAGAGTTCCAGGTAGGGGCACTAGCCTTGCCATGCCAGCCTCTGTAGCATCTCTGAGCTCTGGCTTTAAAAAGGTTCTTTTTCCACCTGTGATTTGAAAAGTTTGGGTGGGAAGCTACAGGCTCATGTAAACAAACCCTAAATGCTGTACTGGAAAACCACAAGGGTGGCCAGTGAATTTTTTTTTCCCAGCAAACAATATATTACTGTGAAACAGTTATATAGAGAACCTGTGAGGGTGGTACCACTTACCTCAAAGAATTAGCCTTTGATCCTGACTCAGACTCGATATTTTCATCCTGGTACACTTTAACTATGTGAAGCATTTCAAATGTGTTCAAATATAGATTGTGGCAATGTTTCTACTGCAAGGAGCAGCACATCTTTCTAGAGATGTGGGAAATTGTTGCTGCTTATTATTGTGTTGCATTGTTTGGTGAGACAGTGGCTTAGAGTGAAGCCAGGCTGTGAGAGGAGAAAGAGGGGGGTTTTCATTTTCATGCTGAAGTCCTTGTCCATGTGAAAGCACTTTGTAGAACTGGTTATACCAACAGATTCTAGAGAAGGTCTTCCTGTAGTTTCAGGTTTTGTTAATTTAAATGTTGTAACAAAGGTTCTTTAGTGTTCCTGGTTCCTTTAGTTCCTGGTGTAATTTCTGTGCAGAAGAAACAAGTTTCTAGTTTCAGAGCTGGCTGGCAAACTTTGTATTTCAGGAATGAGATAAGTAAGGAAACCAGTACTGGAATAATTGTTAAAAGAGCTGGGGTGTTGCATTACTTACGCTAGAGAAAACAGATGATACTCAGATGTGATCCCAAGCACAGTGCTGAAATGGCCCCTGCAGGCTGACCTGATGTGGACAGGCACAGTCCACAGCTGTTCATGTCAAGCTCCCAAAAAGGCTAACATGATGGCTAACATTTGCTGTCTCGATCCTTGTTACTCACCATGATAAATCCTTTTATGGACATGCCTTCTGACTGTCCCAAGTACAGCAGGAAGACTCAAACAAAAGCATTTTGCAGCTCTGGGGTGAGCCATATGAGTAAAGTGAACTTTCCCTATCTGAAACTGACAGAGTTGTGTTGCACTCCTTGCTTTGATGTGCCTTTAATCCATAGTGTGGACTGTCTAACTGACCATGGTCTTGTCTTTTCCATGCATGGCTTCATCGTTATCACGTTGCCCCATTCATCTAACCCAGGAGCCAACAAAGGTATGAGAACCTTTTAGTATGTACAGTAATTTCTGTGCTCACGTTCATGTAGCTGTGGTCTTCTTCATCCAGCTCTTAGTGCCAATCTTCACAAGACAACTTTTGGTAACAATCACACAACTGGGCACCTATCTGTTGGTCTTCATTTGCCTTCAGTAAGTAGAAAAGGAAAGGTCATGTTTGTTGATTCAAACAGCTCTCTAGAGGTCCTGCTGTACTAATGAAGAGGTTCTGGGTTGTGGTGTAGCCAAGGGTAGGTGTAGCTGGATTTTATGGGAAATCTTACACAAAGAGTATTTGTGTAGTTAGACTTCTGTGCTTTGTGGAGCAATGAACTGACCAATGGCTTGCTGCCTCTAACAGCAAAGGTTTCCTGCCTTTCTCCTGGTTATACATGACTTTATTCCAGTGCTGTGCTCTTCTATGAGCCATTTCACTTTGTGAGCCCAGTAGGAGACTTAGCACTTTTTTCCCCTTTCACTGAACTGGGATTTGGGAGTGGAGAGCCTGAATGCCTGTGTCTTGGTGGCAATGGGCAGCTGGGCTGGCTCACTGTCTGTCCCTGAAACCTACTTGGAGGAGGACACTTTTCATTTGCAGATGCTCCCATCCCCCTCTGGCAGAGATGCCCTGTGGTTGTGTCTGGTGTGGCTGCAGCTTTCTCCTGAAAGGCCTCAATGTGAGCCTCCTCAGGGCCCCAGGCCATGGTGGCTGACAGAGGGGTGGTGCCCAGCCCAGGAAAGCTGTACCATGGAGAGGGCACTGTCACCTACTCTAGCTGCAGAGGCTCCAGCAAAGACCTGCCTGGGGCTGTGGGTCATGTGAGGCAGATTACAGTCAGCTGCTCTAGTCCACTGCTGGCTTGGCTGTTCCTCCTGCTAGGGCAGGAAGGAAGCAGTGTTCCTTAGATACTCTGTCCTACTGTTCTCTTGTCTCCTGGAAGACTTTGACCCTTCTGTCCATTGCAACTCTGCAATTTCACACAGTCTGGAAAGCATTCTTCAAGAACAGAATAATTTCTCTTAAGCCAGAATTTTTATAATAAACACTAGGCTGAGGCATCTTTCAGGTGATTTTTCTGTCAAGTGGGTGGAGTGATGGACGAGAAAGCTGAAGGCTGTAGTTATTCCTGGCTCTTGGGGGCCATGCTGCTTTTAGGAGACAACTGACATATGATGGAGCAAAGGTTTGTGCCAAAGAGAAGACAAGCTTGCTTCTGCCTTCACTTAGATTGAAATAAGAACTCTATATTTGAACATCTCTTCAGGAAAGAAACAGAAAGATTAACTAAAGCATGAGCTGCTTTGCAGACATGAGGGCTCTCTACTAAGTTTGCTCTCTAACATTTGTCCCACTGAAGTCATAAGCCTGTCCCACTGCTCAGAATACTGGGCTGAGCTCTGCTGTGTCGAGAGGTGTGGACACAGTGCTTTGGAGGCCCTGAGTCACTTCAGGACAGAAAACACAGAAACACACAGCATCAGAGATAGAAATTCAAGTCTTGCTCATGATTCTGAGAAGGGATGCAGGAGTGCTCATGAAATCTTGCTGAAGTTGAACCTGTAGTTCTCAGAGCAGAGTGCGAGGTCCCTCTTGCAAAGCCAGTCTCTCATAAGATGAAATCTTTGTGGTTCCACAGCTCCTCAAGCAGATGAGAGGAAAAAATTGTGTCAAGAAAACACCCATATTGGACTTGTGAAAGGAAATTATTACATTGTTTAGATCCCAAGCCTTAGGATAACTTCTTTTTTTTTGTTAGAAAACCAAAACTGTAACTCAATCTTGCTTATGAGCCTGAGTATTTTCTATCCTGGTGCTTGTTTATCCAGTAGGGTAGAGGGGCTTGAAGTGTGCCAGTTTTTGCTAAATTCAGCATGAAGTAACCTACTCCATGTTTGATGACAGAATAGCATGACTTTTAGTGAGTTTGAACAGTCTGGACAGCTGCACTGTCTTCCTCAGCACTGTGAGGATTCATTTATACTGACCACCAAGTTTTGATGCTAAAAATTCTTAATGCAGAGCTGGGGAGTCCTTCCTTTAGGTAGATGGGAACTTGAGGGATGCAAACACTTAATTTCCACCCCCCCCACACCCTTAAGTAGCGGCCAGTAGCACCTACTTAAGAATCAGTTTTCTGGTTCCCTTATGTTCTGTGTGATTTGCAGTAATGCCGTTTTCCTCCTTAATCTCCCAGTCTAAATGTTCAATGTGGAGCCAAGTCATGTTCAGGTTGGACGCCTGATCAAGTGTCTAAACCTCCTGCAACTGCAGATTGAATCCAACCTCCCAAATTTAATCCTCAAAAATGCTATCAAGTGAATTCCATAAAGGGTTATTCTGCATGAAGGCAAGAAATAATGCTTTAAACAATCCTCGCCTCTATTCTTATGGCATTAGTTTTTTATCAGTTGATTTGACTTGTGGCAGTCCTGAGTTTTTTCTGGGGGGCTTTGAAATCTATCAAAGGATGTTGTGTGTCTGTGCACAGACATTCCCATAGTGGTGTGTACTACTGGGATAGGAATCTTTGAAGTTTCAACCCCCTAAGAACAGCATCTTCCATGAGAGAAGATGGGACAAATGAGACCTCTGCTGTGAGATGACACCAAGGGTTAATAATATGCTTTACTCTTTCCAGGTACTTTATTGCCCAGATTGCCATCTGAACCCGGGATGACATTACTCACCATCAACATAGAGAAAATTGGTCTCAAAGATGCTGGACAGTGCATTGATCCTTACATCACAGTCAGTGTAAAGGGTAATGATTTCTGTTCTGCCTCCTCAGTGCTGCTTTGGAGAGAGTGCATTTTCTGAAAGCTCTATTGATTTTTCAGCCTGCTGGGAAAAACATTTGTTGGCACTTCTGTTGTGGATGTAGGGCTTCTGCTTTAATCAAGGGCGGAAAAATCCTGTATTTGACAGCTACTGGGAGGTGAATATCTGCAGGATACACTTCTCTCTGTGCACTCAGGGGTGGCTTGTCCATGCTGAGAGCTGAGCAACTTTGCCCTACTTCTTCATCACAGCTTCTGCAGCTGACTCCTAAGTACAGATCTACTTGGACTGTGTCTACTCCCCACACTTACGGGTCTCTGGGCTTTCTGGAGGTGGTGAACCACAGCCCACTGACTCCATTCTTGCCCTCTCATTAAACTAATTTTGTAGTAATATAATATAGTATAAATATAATCTTACCAGGGCTTAAGATTTAGAGGGGTGGGTAGGAAGCTGAGGAGCAAAGCTTGCAAGTGAAATAAAATAAAAAATGTGTTAGCCTGGCTAGTGAAATGCTTCAGCCAAAGCCTGATGGGCTGAAAGGCTTCATAAATCTAGAAGAACCCCTCTCTCTGTCAGTCCAGGATCGGCAACATGAGGATTTCTCTCTTTCAGATGGTAACATAATTGGTATCTTTTGAGGCTAAGATTTTTGATATTCACATTCTTTCTAATGGGAGTATCTCTGTCCCCCATTTTGCACTTAGCAGGAAGCCTCTGTAGTCAAACCTGCTTGTGCTTGCCTTGTGTTCTGCTTTACTTCAGATTCTCTTTACAATCTTTAAATGTAAGCAGATGTTTTTTTTTTTTTGTTGTTTATCATGTAAAAATCTCTAGCTGAGCCTCTTGTTATTTTTAGTTGTGATAATGACCTTGTATGTGTCCTCTTGAGATGTGCTATTGGATACTAAATGTAGGATGAAACATTTGTTAGATGTATGATCAGTGCTTCTTCCACTAGACATCCTCTGGCAGGAGGAAGGTTCGCAACATCAAATATCCCTTGAATACTTACCAGGGCTTGTGAAGCAAGCATTCCTTGTTCCTTGCCACTGAAGTGTTTGTCTCATTGTACATTGCTAAAACTGCTCCTGTAGCTCTCATTTCCCTTCTGGAGCTAAGGGAGACACTGTTGCTAGACTTGCTTTCCCAGCAAGTCTCTGTTAACATAATGCTCCCTGTTTCCAAACTCATTTACCTATAAATGGTGGCTGCCAAGTAATGAGGTAGAAAATAGGATCTAAAAGTGAGAGTGTGGGCAGGGTATGACTGAGTCTGCTAATTTGGTCAGGCAAAGTAACTCTGAGGACTCATTTTTTCACTGTTAGGAGTCTGAAGACACTTAGTAGCTGATTTCCTTGGTTTTAAACCAAGCTGCTCTTCTGCAGGTTTGGAGAGAGGTTTGTTCCTGACGCAGCACTGGCAATCCCAGTCCATGTCATGGATGAAGAGAATCACTGGTGCTCCAGGGCCTCAGCCTGAGCTCCAAGCACAGTATGTGCACTCCATACCTGTAATCTTGGCCGCATTGTTAGCAACTTCCTCTGCCAGAGGGAAAGGGATTGGGAATGAGAGGAAGGACAGGACAAATATAGCCCTGGAAACAGCAGAGGCTTAGTGAGAAACTATATTGGCTGTGCCAGAGCAGCAAAACATGGGGCTGGTGCTGCGAGCTGGAGTCCAGCCTACAGCCCTACAATGCCTCTGTGGAAAACCCAAGAGGAATAATGCTTGTTGTGTCTAGGGACAAAGCAGGGCACACACAGGATGTGTGAGCTGTGCCAGCTGTGCCCTGCAGACCCTGTGTGGAGGGCTGTCTTTGGTGTGTGTCCCATTTGGGTTGGAGCTCTTCTGGAGTCCTGTGTGCACAGGGAATGGAATCTCTTGCTGACAGCAGAAAGAAATGCACTCTTAAAAATAAAAAGAGGGATAACTACAATTTTTTATCTGAAATATTGCTGGAACTTTAGCTGTTTTCATGTTGTACTCAAAAAGAAAATTAACTGATTGCGAAGGGGTATGATTGCTCCTTTTTTAGATTTTGTGGAAACATCCAGGTGTGGATTAACTTTTTGTGGCAGGATTAGGAGAGATTTATAAATCTCTTAAAGCTCAACCTTGAAGTCTGAGAAGCTTCTGCCATTCTTATGCTGTTTCTTTCCTGCAGATTTGAATGGGATAGATCTGACTCCTGTGCAGGATACTCCTGTGGCTTTGAGGAAGGAGGACACATACATCCATTTTAATGTGGACATTGAGATTCAGAAACACATTGAAAGACTAACAAAAGGTATGTGGTACCATGTGGGCAATGGAGAGAGACGGGGAAGACTGATTCGGTGATCAGAATCTGATTTTATTGTGGGGTACAAATGCTTATATACTATTTCAGGGAGACTGGTAAGATGTACTACAATTATTAGGTTAAAATCACATGCACAAACTTATGCATATAACAACATCTCTTGCTTGCACAGCGTAATGGGATTTTCTTTTTCTGGTAAACCTGTTTGATTTAATCTTCTTGCAATCTAGGTCTAATTTTCAAAGTTCTGTTTGCTTTTGCCAAGGCATCCTGTTATCAAATCTCTTATGTTAACCAGGTACAAAGTCCATTATCTGTCTTGTGTCCCCCAACATTCCAACAGTACCAGACACCCTAAACAGGGCCCAGGAGCTTTGGGAACACAGACACTGGGCTGCTCCTGACCTGCTGCTGCAGGGCTCAAGATCCAGACAAGGATAAAAATAGACCTTTGCATCCTGTCCCTTTCAAACTGGTCATTAGGATGGCTTGCAGGCAAGGGAGAAATGAAAAGAGACAAAAACAGAGCAGTATGCTCTGCTACACAGGTATTGAGCTGCTTTATCACCTGCTTAGTCATTGGTACTTGGGTATGAGCAATGGAGTGAAGAGTTTGAATTGTGGAGTGTGATGAGCATTGTAAGAACATGGTGTAGCTTTTGAGTAAATAACAGAAGTGTGGGAGATAATTACCTTCAATTTAAGTAGAGCAACTTAATGGCAGATAAGTTTTCAGATAACTCTTAGCCATAATTGCTAACTTTTCTATTAATTTTCCCTCCAGGTGCAGCTATCTTCTTTGAATTCAAACACTACAAGCCTAAAAAAAGGTTTACTAGCACCAAGTGCTTTGCTTTCATGGAGATGGATGAAATTAAACCTGGGGCAATTGTTATAGAACTGTAAGTGACTCACAGTTATGGATGACAATGACAGAGGAAATGAACCAGCCTTCAGTTACAGTGTGTGGCTTGTTGTATTAAGGGAAGTTTCTTGGATTCATTAGATTTGCTTCCATAAGGAATATTTTATTTTCAATAAAGAGGGGAAGATAAAATACTTTTAGGCAAGTAAGATGGTTAAGGACTCTTCTCAGAAACTAGACCAGTTTCCAAATAAAGTATTGGTATTTGTAATTTAATTTTGTATGAATTTAAAGAAGTCTGTAGGGGAGATTTTAATTTGGAGCTTAGCCTGACTGTCAGATCGGCTACATTTAAAAAAAAATAATCAACTTAGTCTTTTGGTACAAAACTTCTGCAAAGGAAATCTGATTTGAGGCATGAGATACCAATTTGCAATTAACTTTGTGAACATTTCAAAGCAGTATTGAGTGGTTATGGCGTGTATCCTCTCCTTGTTGAGTGGCTGAAGGTCTGAGGGAGGGCTTTGAGGATTGGGGTTTGGTTTTTTTATTCAAGAAGAAGGTGAATCTTGCAATTCTTGGAAGAGTGCTTAGTCTGTGGTAGCTGGAGTACTTCTGAAGTACTGTTACTGATACTGGGACTCTCCTACAATCCAGAGTATTATGTTGAGAATCTCCTTACAAAAATATTACATTCACTTAGATATTGAAATCTTCTGTAAAAATAATAATCCAGAGAAAATACTGTTTCTTCCTGTAGGCCTACTCATTACTGTTGCTTACAGCAAGCCTTGTCAGAGGTATTTAAAAGGTGAGGGTAATAAGATTTGTACAGGATGAGTTTTCTAGTTTGCTTTCATCTTGCTGCACAGCCATTAGTGCTTGGATTAATGCAGTTTCTTGTGGTTACAGGTACAAAAAACCCACTGACTTTAAAAGGAAGAAATTGCAACTGTTGACCAAGAAACCACTTTACCTTCACCTCCATCAAACATTGCACAAGGAATGACCCCAGTTGTGAGAAGTCTGTGAACTGAACTACAAGTCCTGGTAGCTGTGTAGTAGCCTTAGGCTCTGAGGGTTGGGAAGATGACTCTGTTCATGCCAGTAGGTCACACGAGACCATCACCCACTGCACAGCACTACTTCAGGGTCAGGGACAAGCCCACCATGCAAGTGCAAGATTTTTTTCAGTAACTTCCAGATACAGGTTTTTCCAAGGGCCCTGATATAGGTTGACTGCTTTTCCTAATTTTGCTGTTCATCACTTTTTACCTTTAACCGTTCTCCTTTTGCCTCAAGCTCCCCCTGAGAATGGAGAGTGCCCCTTTGCCAAACCTGCAGCAATAAAAATGTGGCAGGCCTACTAACTGTTTACACTGCTGTGCAATTGTAGTTCCTCTCATCTGCATTTCAGAGTCCTCTGGAGTGGGCAGGGTGACAGAAGACTGGGAGAAGGATGAGGTGGGCTGGGAAGGAGCTTGAGGTACTGCAAGTGCTTTGAAATGAGGGAGTGGAGAATGCGGATCAGATGGGTGGGCATGAGTCCCTGTGGTCAGGTCAGGAGGAGGACAACTGCAGATGAGAACACTGAACTATGATTGAACAGCCTTGCCTGAGTTTCAAATACATGTTATAGTCTTTTCAGTCACTGTTACTACTCCCTAATAGAGCTATTCTTTTCTGTATCCTGTCACAGAGTGGTTTGCAAAGGTGGGTGGGGGATAAAGAGGCCTTCTCCAGGGCTTTGTCCTGGTGGCAAGTGGGTGTTTTGCCATTTCAGTGACAGCAGGACAGGCCCTCAGTGCTGAAGTGTCAATTTTCCAGAGCTTTATATAAAGTAGGTCTGGCTAGCAGGCTGACCCACCTTTTACATGAAACTGCTGTTCTTATGGAAACTGATTGTATGCAGTTCTGTGCATATTTTGTGCAAGTCTGGAAATTTACTCAAAGAATTACCTTTTAATATAAGTAGATAGCATTAGCATGTATTTTCTGTATTTTTTTATTTGGTGCATAATAAGCTGCAGGACATTGGCTTATTATGACACACTTGCATTCACCTTTTGATCTGAAAAAGGGAAAGAAGTAGAACCCAGTCAAATCTTTCATATATTTGTGTGGATATTTAATATGATACTTTATGGTTTGATAAACTTCTTGCATATCTAACTAGTGCCTGAATAATCTGCTATGCTAACTAAAGACCCAGCTCCCAAAATAGTGTCAATTATTTTAAACAGCCTGGATGCAGGTGAATCATCCATTCCTCTGCTGTCACCTGACCCCAAGATATTACATCATGTGTTAAGGGAAGGGATGTTACTTTTCCTCATGCTGTTTGTCTGTCTCTATTCAGCTGTTGGGCATTTTTGGCTTTACCATATTGATTAGGATAAAAAGCTGGTTTTGAATGTCCTAATCTTCTTGCCTTTCTTCTGGTATAACTAGGAATGACATTATTTAGGTGTTACAACAAAAGTCAGCAACACTTTGCCAAATTCCACTGCTGGTTGGAGGGGTAAAAGGGCAGTTGAATTGTCCTGTTTATGGATCTTTACAATATCCCACTGGTTTTAAAGCTGATGGGTGATCATCAAGATATCCCTATGAGTTGTGGAAACTCCTCTGAATGCAGCATTCTGGACACCACACTAAAGGAGAATACCTACACTGCTAAAAGCCAAATACAAATAATCCTCTGAACTCTGCAAAAGGACGAAGCAAAGTGTTAGTCTGTGGTTGCAAGTAATCTGAGCTTGGCCCATTTACCTGTCAGTGATCCCTGGCTGGCTCATGACTTGTTCTGACCAAGGAATTGCAGGATCTGAAAGGTGGAAGGGCTGGTTCTGGAGTTCAGTCCAGCTGCCATCCAGGGTAAGCACTGCAGTTGGGTGTGTGTGTCCAAGGTGAATGCTGGTGCATCCAGAGGGAGATTCCATACAACTTTCATTACTGTTAGCTGGGATGGGCAAGGGAGGAGACACTGAGTATCACAAAGGCTTGTATGGGGAAGGAAAGATCCTGGACTTTGAGAACTTGACTTTTAATCATGGATGTTCATCAAGTGTGTGTATCATCAGCCACCCTGCAAACTGAGATACTGTCCCTTGAAGTACAAACCCATTTTTTCTGCTGCTTACCTGGACCCTTCCCCAGCTTGTAGATGTCTGTATTAATGCCAGTTATATGAAATGTCAACTTTAAAGTATTTTTGTTAAATACAGAAGTAGAGCTTTGTATTTAACTGATTGTGAATTAATGTCTGTTGAGTGTGAAATACATTTTTAAAGTTGCTTCTATTCCTTGCCTTTTTTCTGTGAACTGTCTCAGTGCCAGGACTGCTGCTGCTGCACACACCACAGGCTTTGGGATTGTTTTATGCTTCAGTGATGTTCCAGCTTGTGTTTCACCTGAAATCTAAAGCTTTACACTTGTACTGTAAGAATGTAACACCTAGATGGCAACTTCAATGGCTGCTTGTACTCTGTCAGTAAAGCTGTAATGGCCTCCCGGTAGGGTTTTTTATTATTCCGCATTGTTTTCCTTTTTTACTCCCTCAGACTGCCTTTTGAACAGTGCACTTGTGAGAAGCCTTACTCACCGAGACAGTCAAAAGCCTGCAGTTCCAAATGCTTGCACTAACACTTGAACTGCCAGTGTAGGGTGTGCTTTGAAAGTTGTTCAGTGGTGGTAGCTGCAGTAGATGTTTACATACCTCCAACTCTGCTTTACAGAAAGCTACTTTGCTTTCTGATGGAACTAAAAAAGGCTCTCCAAATCCAGCCTTCCTTTTAAAGAAGCTGAATTGCTCTTAACCCTGAGGAAGATGAAAACTTGGTTCTCAAACTTCACTTGATGCTGAGAGGTGCTCTTGAAAGCAGAAAGCAATTAGGGAAGTTCTGAGTTTCTCTAGTGGAGAGGCACTGTAGAAACACAGGTCAACTCCACAACCTCATCAAGGTTTCCAACTCTGGAAGCTGCATCCCCCATAGTCCTCATTACATGAAGCAAGTCCACATTGCATCAGAGTAAATCAGCATGAGGCTAACATGGTCATTACCCTGCAGCAGCATTAATTTGGCCTTGATTCAATTCTTGTTCTCAGAACTATGCATTCTCTGTCACATTACTCAACCAATATACCTTCTGAACAAAACATGGCACTAAAACAAAGTGTCGGGAGTTTAGCAAAAGGAATTTTGCTTTTTATTATAACTTTCCTTTGAATACAGTGTCATTTGTGCTTCTGATCTCTGACCAGATATAATTTTTAAAAAACCCCAGAACCTCAGAGTCTCGTGTAAACCCCTGGCCTACAGTAACTGCAGCTCAATGATGTGATGGAGAAGGCAGGTTGGATAGCATTTTACTTAAAAATTATTTCCACAGGAAATGATTTGATATACATTTTTAACGAAATTAGTTCATTCGCCAACTGGTTACAGAGGCTACATTGAATTAAAACTCTCCTAACAGGTACTTCCTTCCTATTGCACTTTTAGAGTAGGTTCAAGTCCATCACAGAAAGGTTCTTGCAGCCCAAGTGGATGGATGAGTTTGTGATCATAAATGCACATAAGACGCCTGTAGCAACTGGATAAAAATTAATCCTGCAAAAGCTGAGATATATTGAAATGAGACCAGTGTCTTCAAATCAAGAGCCATTTCCTAGCGTTGTGCACATAGGAGCTGGGTCCATGGGGCTGGCTGGGCGCTGCAGGCAGGGATCCTGCTCTGGGGATGTGCGTAGTCCTTGGGGCCAGCTGGTCTCAGTCCCTGGGTGCCGGTGGAGGCAAGTCTCTGTTGGGAGAAGGAGCATAGTCCCTGGAAGCCTGCAGGGGTAGCCGGGGGTCTGGAGGATAATCCCTGGGGCCAGGAGGGCCAAGGGGGCGGAAGGGAGGATGCCCATGTGTGTAGCCTCTGAGATCAGAGGGAGGTGGGAATGGGCCAGGAGGTAAACGTGGACTAGGTAAGAAATCTCTTCCAGCTGGAGGTGGCAAGGGAGGACCACAACCTAGAAGGAAAGGAAATCGTGGAGTTAAATGAAATCTTGCTTTAACCTAAACAGAGAAGCGCCTGATTAGTTCCTCAGTTTGTCATCTTCTGGAGTAGCTCTGGAGTGGATCACTGTCACATGCAGGACTTCAAAGCCCATAAATTATTCTAGGGACTTTTGGCTACATTTTAGAGTAAACAAGGAAAAAGAGCTTGGCATTAAGGAGGCTTGAAAAAACACATCCAGTCCAAGCTTACTGAGCCAGCTAAAGCCCATGAAACATGAGGAAGCCATGTGCTTTGGAAAAGCAGCTCTGGGTCCTGCAGTCAGGCTCCAGGAAGAGAAGTGTCAGCACAGAGCACTGCAGCCATACCTGGGGGCCCAGGGAGAGGCCGAGGCCCGAAGTGCCCCCGCAGAGGAGGAGGTGGCAGTCCTGGCGGTCCGTAGCAAATGGGTGGTGGTGGTGGAGGCCCCATCACTGGGGAGCTCATCAGAGATGTCCCAGGGAAAGGAGAGGGGCCTTTGGCACCAGCATTACCCTGGGCAAGATGAGATAACAGTTCAGTGAGTTACTGAAGCAGACAAGCACTGACACTGCTGAATAATCCAACCACTCACCCAGAGGCAAGCAGGTACAAGGGGAAGAGGAAAGAAAGAAAAATGATGCAAACACTCCAAACCACATTAACCAGGCAGAAAACAGGGACAGCTACTGCACCATCATCATCCCAGAACACTGCTGGTACTACTCAAGAGTGAGTAGTTTAGAGAGACAAGTTTGTTTAGATTAAGCTGTACTAAAGAAAAGGTCAAGCCCTGTTGAGGTGTCCTTGGTGGACACCCCTTCAGTAAATGACCTGGAACTTTGAATTATACATGGAATCGTGCTTAAACACCACAAGTAAGTCAGCTACTTAGGATTATTGTTGTAGTCACTCCAAAGTGTTTGCCCATAGTTCTTAAAAAGAAACATCTTACTGCCTCAATCCCAAAAAAACAGAGAGCAACTGCTCATCATTAGAGAAGCCCTTTGAGACAGAGGGACCAGCTCTTGATTAGTTCCACAAAGCAGTTGTTATTCAGTGGTTCAGAACACCAAGCCTGTTACTCCTCACCATTAAAGCAGCCATCACCATGTCCAGCCTTGGAATACTCACTGCAGCTGGTTCCATGGAGGAAGGTGAATCAGTAGTTACACTGGGGGCTTCAGACTCTTTGGGAGAGGGTTGCTTTTGGGGTTTTTTTGAACAGCAAATAGGGATAGTGACAGGATACAGACAAGACAGAACACGATACAGTTAAAGAAGCAGGAGGAAGTACAGTGAATCATGTATTTAAAAGGCTTCCTGAAGGCTGGGGTGTTCTCAACTCACCACTCCATCAATTCCTGTGGAAGGGGAGGAGGTTCTTGGCTCACTGCTGATTAGGGATGCCACAGCAGGACCAATATCTAAAAAGAGAGCCATGAATAAGTGTCCTACCCTGCCAAGGGTAGGGAAGGTGGGCTTGAAATTGCCTTTTTGAAGGGAAAGAGTAACGAGTAAGTTGCAGATGGTTGCAGACCACACAACTTACCAGGAACAGGCATCCTTCCAGGCAGCTCTGGAGGCCTTCGTGGGGCAGGGGTGCCATCCACCATTGTACCTTAATGGAAATGAGAACCCCAGAGTCCCTAAATAACACAAGCCTGAGCTATTTCTATTAATGAAACCCTACCACCAACCATTCATTAGTGTATTAATAAAACAGCTATCAGTATCAACATTCCTAGAACCAATATTTGACCTTAGTGTTCCTGGTTTGTAGCCTAAGAGGCAGTTGTCAAAAAAGGGGAGTTGCACTGCTTACCAAATTCACCCCGCACACCTTCCCTTCGAGGAGCAGAGAGGGGCCGGGCAGGGACATCATTTATCTGTGTGGGGGATGGATTTCCTCCACTCACAGGTGATGGGCCAGAAGAGCCATCTCTGCTTAAGGGCCCTGTGCCAATGAAATAAAACCACTTGATTTACTTTTCTACAATTTAGCACAGCCCTATGTTTTTATGATGCACTGACTCCAAGACCAAAGGTTTTGGGAGAACCAGCAGCATTTACCTCGTCGTGGTGGGATCTGGCGGTCAGGCCTGCCTGGAGTTGGCTTTACAATGACTGGTCTTTGAAGCATGATGATTTTTTGGTTTACCTCTATTAATCTGATTTTGGAAAATAAAGGTCTCTTATTATTATTCAAACAACACATGTGAGTTGTATCTATTATAATGTAACAAGGCAAACTGCATTGTAAAATGTTACAGCTTTCACCAAGAAATGTTATTTTAGCCATCAAAATAGTTTAACAGTAGTTAAGATTAGTAACTTAAAAATGCACTGCACATTCTGAGCTTCTCCCTCAGGGAACTCCCAGCATGTTCAAAGAGCAATAGAGAGGGTCTGTTCTGTACTTACTTCTGTCTCAGGTTGGCTGCTTCTCTTTTCTCTTCAGCCAGAGCTCTCTCAGCAGAGCGGGCAATGAGCTGGTAGGGAAAATTTTGTCAACTTTATTAATGGCACCAATGTGACATCAAATATAAACTGTTGGCATCAGAAAAGGACAAACATTCTTACCCAGTTGTCATGTGCCTTTTTCTCATGAGCAGCAATCTGAGAAGGAAAGAAGCCATTTAGTTTTTATCCAACTACCAATATTTCCAATAACTCATCACACAGCACTAGAATAATGCAGAAAAAGATGACACAACAACCAGCAAGCAAGAAGTTGACCTGGTTTTTGTAAGATCGCTCTGTTTTTTGCAATTCTTCTTCCATATCTTGGATCCTTTGCCTGTACAAAAGGAAAGAGAGGGGAAAGCAAAAACGTTTGAATAAATTTCCCTCAGTAGCTGAAATAAACAGAAAATCATCATCTTCAGAAATTCAAGTTACTTGTAAACTTTCACTTCCTCGATGGCCAGCATGGCTTTTTCATCTGCAGCATACAATTTCTGCTCATTCTCCTGACGCTCGTACTCTTCCTGGGTTAGTTTTCTGCATAAGGGAAAAAAAAATGCACCATATAATCCAGCATTTTCCATCTATTACAACTCAAAATCAATGTATTTTCCCTGCCAATGACAGCAATATCAAAGTCTACAATAATGTGTGAAATCACAGAGACAAAAAAGAGATTTTTTACAAAGAGAGACAGAAATCCTGTCTCTTGAAACCAACAGACAAACCCTTTGTGTATAAAACCTTAAAATTACAGAGTTGACTAGAAAGATTCTGACAGATCTTCAGAAGCTGACAAAACTATCAACTGCAGACAGTTCATCCCTTCCGATCCTGTAATTTTCCTAGCAATGCCACAGATTGCAATCCAGATTTACAAAGGTACAAACAAGGAAATCCACTGGACTGACACCAACCACAGGAAATGAAGAAATGGATGTGTGGTGAGAAGGGGCAAATTTAGGGCCCAAGTGACAAACACATTCAATAGTTATTAACCGTGTGGGAAGCTTTTTCCAAGTGTTCTCCATACCAATTCACTG